AACGTCAAATTATAGTTTAACAATTTGAGAGGAAGAGACCTGTTTCTCAATTCAATTCAATTCAATTTTATTTATATAGCGCCACATCACAACAACAGTTGTCTCACAGCGCTTTCCAAACAGAGCAGGTCAGACCCTACTCTGAAGTTAACTACAGAAACCCAACAATTCCCACCATGAGCAAGCACTAGGCGACACAGGCAAGGAAAAACTTCCTTTTAACAGGCAGAAACCTTGAGCAGAACCATGGCTCAGGGTGGGCGGCCATCTGCCTCGGCCGGTTGGGGGTGAGGGGAAAGAGAGAGCAAGAGAGAGAGAGAGGGCAAGAGAAGGACAGAAGGAGCAGAGAGGGGCAGCCAACACAGCAACACGTAGAATAGATTAAAAATGGCAATGATATTAATGCTAATGATGAGCAGGAACATGGGGGCAGCAGGAAACTCCCAACCACAGATCCAGACTCCACAGCTCTAGGAACACCTGCAGGAAGTGATAGGAGGAGACTCCCAACCACAGATCCAGACCCCACAGCTCCAGAGCCAGGAATATCTGCAGAAAGTGTTAGGAAGAGAGAGAAGAGAGAAGGGGGACGAGAAAGCACACGACTACGGGGAAGGGAGAGAGTCCAGTTAGTAACATTGTTAATGGAATGAGGTTGCACCGGGAGGGAGAGAGAGAAAGGAAAGGGGAGCTCGGTGCATCATGATGCATCCCCCGGCAGTCTAGGCCTATAGCAGCACAACCAGGGGTGGACTTACTCTAACTATAAGCTCTATCATAAAGGAAAGTCTTAAGCCTACTCTTAAATATAGAGACGGTGTCTGCTTCCCGGACCCAAACTGGAACCTGGTTCCACAAAAGAGGACTCTGATAGCCGAACGCTCTAGCGCCCATTCTAGTTTTCAAGACTCTAGGAACTGCCAGTAACCCTTCATTCTGGGAGCGCAGTTCTCTGGTAGGGCAGTAAGGTACTAAAAGCTCTTTAAGATAAGATGGGGCCTGACCATGAAGAGCTTTATACGTAAGGAGAAGGATTTTAAATTCTATTCTGGATTTAACAGGAAGCCAGTGCAAAGAAGCCAAGACAGGAGAAATATGATCTCTTTTTCTGGTTCCTGTAAGAACACGTGCTGCAGCATTCTGGATCAGCTGAAGAGTCCTAATGGACTTTTTTGAAGACCCTGATAACAAGGAATTGCAGTAATCCAGCCTAGAAGTAACAAATGCATGGACTAGTTTTTCTGCATCATTTTTACACAGGATGCTCCTAATTTTTGCAATATTACGAAGGTGAAAGAAGGCGGTTCTTGAAATTTGCTTAATGTGAGAGTTAAACGACATGTCCTGATCGAAGATAACTCCAAGATTTCTCACAGTGGTGCTGGAGGCCAGGGCGATGCCATCCAGGGAAACTATATCTCTAGATAATGCGTCACGAAGGTGTTTAGGCCCTAGAACAATAACTTCAGTTTTAGCTGAGTTTAACATTAGAAAATTGCAGGTCATCCAGGTTTTAACATCCTGAAGGCACATTTGAAGCTTAGCTAGCTGATGAGTTTCATCTGGCTTGATCGATAGGTATAACTGAGTATCATCTGCATAGCAATGAAAGTTGATAGAGTGTTTCCTGATAATATTACCTAAAGGAAGCATATATAAAGTAAAGAGGATTGGTCCGAGAACGGATCCTTGCGGAACTCCGTGGCTAACTCTGGCATGCATGGAGGACTCATCGTTAACATGCACAAACTGAAACCGATCTGATAAATAGGACCTAAACCAACTTAGAACGGCTCCTTTAATTCCGATGAAATGTTCCAGTCTCTGTAGTAGGATCTGATGGTCAATGGTGTCAAAAGCAGCACTAAGATCTAATAAAACCAAGACAGAGACGAGTCCTTTGTCTGATGCCATTAGGAGGTCATTAGTGATTTTCACCAGTGCGGTCTCTGTGCTATGGTGAGCTCTAAATCCTGACTGAAAATCCTCAAACAAGCTATTGCTATGTAGATAGTCACACAGCTGTTTGGCTACTGCTTTCTCCAGGACCTTGGAGATGAATGGAAGGTTGGATATAGGTCTATAGTTGGCTAAAACATCTGGGTCCAGGTTAGGCTTTTTCAAAAGAGGCTTAATTACAGCAACTTTAAAGTACTGTGGCACATAGCCTGTTAATAAGGACAGATTGATCACGTCTAGCAGAGAAGTACCGACTAAGGGTAGGACTTCTTTAAGCAACCTAGTCGGGATGGGATCCAAGAGGCAAGTTGAAGGTTTGGATGAAGAAATGATTGAAGTTAGTTGACAAAGATTGAGGGAAGCAAAACAGTCAAAACATATAACTGGTTCTGGTCCTACAGTTACTGAGTTTAAAGATAAGTCGATGCTAGTTGAGGGCAAGTCTTGGTGGATTTTGTTCCTGATAGCTAGAATTTTATCTTTAAAGAAGCTCATGAAGTCATGGCTAGTGAGAGCTATTGGAATACTTGATTCAATAGAGCTGTGGCTCTCAGTCAGCCTGGCAACAGTGCTGAAAAGAAACCTGGGATTGTTCCTATTTTCCTCAATTAAAGACGAGTAATATGCTGCTTTGGCATCACGGAGGGCCTTCCTATAAGCTTTAAGACTATCTTGCCAAGATAAACGAGACTTTTCCAGCTTGGTTGAACGCCAGTTCTTCTCAAGTTTCCGAGATATCTGCTTTAATTTGCGGGTTTCACTAGTATACCATGGAGCTAACCGTCTTTGTTTAAGAATTTTCTTCTTTAGGGGGGCTACAGCGTTAAGAGCTGTTCGCAGCGAGCCTTCAACACTATCAACAAGATGATCAACTTGGGAAGGACTGAAATTAACATAAGAGTCCTCTGTTTCTGTACGACTTGATAATGGATGTAGAGCTGATGGAATCACATCCTTAAATTTAGCTATAGCACTATCAGACAGGCATCTTGAGTAGACATTTTTACCCAGTGGAGGGTAATTCAGCAGTAAAAGCTCAAAAGTTAGCAAACAGTGGTCAGATAAAGACGGATTATGTGGGAACACTATTAAATGTTCAATTTCAATACCATACACCAGAACAAGATCAAGGGTGTGGTTAAAACAGTGAGTCGGTTCATGAATACTCTGAGAGAAGCCAATGGAATCTAACAGAGAGATAAATGCAGTACTGAGGCTGTCATTCTCAACATCCACATGGATATTAAAGTCCCCTACAATAATTACTTTGTCCGTTTTAAGGACTAAAGTTGACAAAAACTCTGCAAATTCAGATAAGAATTCAGAGTATGGACCGGGTGGTCGGTACACTATAATAAATAGAATAGGTTGCAGTGATTTCCAGCTTGGGTGGGAAAGACTCAGAACAAGGCTTTCAAAAGAGTTATAGTTCAATTTAGCTTTAGAGCTGATTACAAGACTGGAGTCAAAGATAGCTGCAACTCCACCTCCTCGACCTGTGCTTCGAGGAATGTGAGTATTCCTGTGACTGGGAGGGGTGGATTCATTTAGGCTCACATATTCTCCATCACCCAGCCAGGTTTCAGTAAGACAAAATAAATCAATCTTATAATCTGATATGAGTTCATTTACAAGCACACCTTTAGAAGAGAGAGATCTGATATTCAAGAGTCCACATTTTACTCTCTTATTTGCATGCACTATTTCTCTTGTGGTTTTAACTTTTATGAGGTTTCTATAGACAACTCCTCTGTTTACCCTTAATTTAAAAAATTTAAATGACCGGGGGACAGACACCGTCTCTATAGGTTTTTCACTAAATAACTCCTGGAATGGAGGAGCAGAGAAGAGGGTTACATTACAACTCCGCTTCCTCCTCTCAACCCTGGACTGTCACCGATCTAGTCTGCTAACAATGTTGGCTAGGTTTCTAGAAATGAGAGCGGCTCCCTCCCCCGTGGGATGGATGCCGTCTCTCCTAATCAGGCCACGTCTTCCCCAGAAAGACTGCCAGTGATCCACAAAGACCACATCATTGGCTGGGCACCACCTCGCCAGCCATCGACGGAAAGATGACATGCGGCTAAACATGTCATCACTAACCAGGTTGGGCAAGGGGCCAGAGAAAACTACGGTGTCCAACATTGTTCTAGCATATCTACAAACTGACTCCACATTTAACTTAGTGACTTCTGACTGACGTAACCGGGAGTCATTAACGCCTACGTGGATAACAATCTTACTGTATCTACGTCTACCCTTAGCCAGAAGTTTCAAATAAGACTCAATGTCGCCCGCTCTGGCCCCAGGAATACACTTAACTACACTCCCTGGGGTGTTCAGCTTCACATTCCTCAGAATCGAGCTACCTATTACTAGGGTAGGCTTCTCAGCGGGTGGCTCGCTGAGTGGGGAAAATCTGTTGGCTACTCGAACAGATTGAGGGGACACTAGGTGCTTAGACTTTTTACGGCTATTCCTCCCTCGGACAGCCACCCAGCTTCCTTTTCCTGGCTGCTCAGGAGAGGCCGGAGGGGGGGAAGGGGGGGGACGGCTATCAGCTAACTCAGGTCGGTCCGCACCGACTACCTGGGACTGGCTACACTTAGCTAGCCTAGCTAAGGGCTGCTCTACTACGGTGCGGAGCCGAGCTTCTAACGCACTGAGCCTCGCCTCCATGTCTAGAAATAAACTACACTTGTTACACATACCACTACCGTTAAAGGAGGCAGAGGAGTAACTAAACATCAGACACACCGAGCAAGAAAGAGCAGGAGAGCGAGAGGGAGAAGCCATCGCTAGCTGTTAAAGTCGCTAACGGCTAAACAAAAGTACGGTAGAGCCACCGGAACCTTTGTTACATCCGCTATAAGACAGAACAGCAGTCACCCAAGATGGAAAGAACTATTGGTGCTTAGGCAAACTTACTGAAATATAATTACGTTATATGGTAGTTAGCGAGAGCAGAGAAAAAAGCGCTACCACCACACAAACACCGCTAACACCGGAAACGGAAATGGGTCGATACGCTTACCGCTACGCTTACGCCAGCTTACGCTTACGCCAACAACTCCAGCCTCCAATCTACTACTGTGCTGTAAGTGGATATAGGATATATGGATGGCAACACAGTGGGGACAGTGTGGTCATTTTGCCAATGATTTGCTGAAAAACCTTTGGTCCTACCATTAAAAGCATTTACTAGCATTTATCACCACCCTCCAGACTTCTGTTAATATAATAATTATCTCTGTAATATGAAATATACAATAATGCATAACCTACCTCTACTTCTTCCTCAGCTGAAACCAAGATCTGTTTCAAGTACTACCACGGAGTCAGCGGAGCACTGAGAGCCACGACCCCCTGCATTACTGTTAAGAATCCAGCAGTCCTGGTGTGTTATTATATCTGTGTTTGTGCATGTCAAACGTGTATTTAAATGATCACTCAGCTCACCTTTAACAATGTGGAGTGAAGATGGCATCAAAGCATTAGAATCAGTTGTGAAAATAATGTGTTCATATTGTAGATATGACAGTCACCACTGATGGCTGTTGCTCACCCATCCAGTATTTGGACATTATTCTTATATACCAACAAGCAGGTCCGAATTATAGGCAATTTGGGAGGTGTAATGTCTCTCCCAGTTGATTCACAAACAGCCGCCTGGAAGACAAATCTGCATGCCGGTCCAGAATATAGAGTTTTTTAAATGGTTAGTAGTTAAAGACATACAAACTGCAATTGAGCCACGTGGTTGTTCAGGCAGACATAACTATTTGTGTGCTTTTTGTGCTATTTGTGTGATTCATATCATCAAATTCCTATATGTTTATGTTTATGCATTTGGCAGACGCTTTTATCCAAAGCGACTTACAGAGTAGACACAATATTACATTTATCATCACTATGACAATAAACTATACTGAGGAGAAACACTGATCAGTCAGTGGTGACAGCAAGAGATAGAAGTAGAGGGCACTACAGAAGGAGTTGTGGGGGGATAGAGGTACGGGTTAGGATTAGGATAGGAGATGCTCTTTGAAGAGGTGGGTCTTCAAGAGTTTCTTGAAGACAGACAGGGATGCTGATGTTCTTGTCATCACAATCACTCCCTTAGCATTTGAGCTATTTATCCTTCAATCACCTGTTGTCATAAACGTGTCCTTTACTATCAAACTTGGAATAGTGATTAGTTCTTTGTTATGTGTTCAATGTGGTGCGTGGACTGTGACATTCTCTCTTTTTTCACAGGTGGAGGGGCTGGCAGAGCAGGTGGGCGTTGAGCATCCTCGGAAACTGATCAGCTTTACTTTGACAGGTAACCCCCAATGTATCTTTTTTATAGTTGTCTCTTTTTATGTCAGTCAAGCACCGAGATTTGAGACAATTAAAAGTAAAGACAAGAAACTTGCGCTACAAACAAATGGACCAGATTCAGTGAATATTCTAGTGTTAGCAATTACATTTTGAACCCTATTTAAGGCAGCGAACAGTGCTGACTAATATGTCATTGGGGACATCTGGTGGGTACTTCCTTTCATCAGTGTTTTATCTACTTGGGCCCACAACACCTGGCATCCAAGAGTCACTTCCCTAATGCCAGCCATCACTGCTCCTCACACCACAATAATACCACCAAAGTGAAGTCAAAAGCACAGATTAGCCACCCAAGCCTCTAACCATCTGCAGCAGTAAAAGCAGGATTAACAATCTTAAACGGTAAAAAGCAGTTTTACATATTCTTTCTTTTCTGTTTTTTCTAAGATATTCTGCCCTTCTAAGTACAGCTTGCTCTTCCCGCAAAATGTTAATTCCTTCCCTCTCTTATATAGTAGCTCCTCTCGCTTGCTTTATTCTTTTCTATACAATTTCTTATTGTCATCTATACTTAACTAAATGTATTCTTTCAACCCTCTTTCCATCATAATGTTTCTACACCACAGGAGCAAATAACTTTAAGTTGATTTATCAACGTCTGCAAAACACAAACCAGATGTGTTCAGATCACATCTTTGCCACTCCTTTAGATCCTTTAGACAAAGAGTAAATTGAAAAAGCTGTTTTTAAGAAACACTGTTCTTTTTTTAATTGAAAGAGTTTACAAGAGTTTACAAGGTTTTTCTGTCAGTGATTTTCGCCCGTTAGACATTATATATCTGCAGATCACCAGTTTGGCGGTAAACTGGAAAGCGTTAGATACTCTTACTTTTTTTGCTTCAATTTTTGCATCTGTGGTCATTGCATTGTTGCAGATCTTTGTGCAACCGGTTTGAAGAAGGGCATGTTTTTTAATCCTGATCCATATTTGAAAATGTCCATACACCCTGGAAAGAGGAGCGTCTTCCCCATCTTCAGCCATCATGGGCAGGAACGGCGATCAGCCATCATTGCAAATACGACCAACCCCGTCTGGCATGGCGAGGTGATATCCCTATTTTTCATGCAAGTCTCTTATCTTGTCAGTGGTTGGTCTCCTCAACTTAGAGAATATGTTAACATGTTTACTTTCAACAGAAATACACATTTGTCGCGCTAATGACAGACATCCTCTACATCGAAGTGAAGGACAAATTTGCCAAAAGCCGACCGATCATCAAACGCTTCCTCGGCCAACTGACTATTCCTGTGCAGCGCCTCATTGAAAAAATACCTGGGTAAGTAACAGAATTACGGAGACATGCAAATATAACCTCACTCACAGTATATTATGTAAAGTCACAGTCACAATATAAAGAATATCAAATTTTCATATAATGCCTCAGTTTAGTTGGAGGGACACCTCTTTGTAATATTCCTTTCTTCAGTGATTGATAACGACTAAATTCACAGTTGAATACTCTATGATATTGTTTTAAGATATATCTAATTGTTTCTCTGTTTTCTCATGAAGGGTCCAGCCTGTGAGTTTCCCCTTGTGTCGACGCCTGCCAACTGAACATGTGAGCGGGCAACTGCAGTTTAAAGTTGAGCTAACCTCAACTGGCCCAGATGGTAATTCTGACTTGGAGCAACACTTAACAGTGCATGTTTTTCTAGCCATTGATATTAATGTGATATCCCTCCTTTAGGTGCGTCTCCTGATTCCATAATTGGCATTTCAAACTTGAACGGTGCCCCAGGAACTCCATCTGATGACGAGGACTTGCCCCATCATCTTCCAGGTGTGGTCTCAGCAGGCCTCTCTCCTACTGGCTCCCACAGCTCTCATGGCATGTGGGAAGGTGGAGCTACAGCCTTCCCAGAGAAAGACCTGTCTCTTGTCAGAGCAGAGGGCAGATTAGTGGAACCTGAAACTCTTCCTGACCATGAAATGCTCCAGAGGTCACTCAGTGAGGGCCTGGATGCTATTGAAGCCCCTAAAGGCCCTGGTGAGAGACCTCTGGGAGCTGCATCTCCTAAATTGTGCTCTAGTTTTCCCACACACACTAGGCTGAGTGCCATGCTGCACATAGATTCAGACGAGGATGACGAGAGGTCTGGAATCAATGATATTGTCCCGGTGCCGCTGTCCCCACTGCTGATAAATGGAGACCCTTCATATGCTGGCGGCCCTGATGAAGATGAGCTGTTTCTCGATCTTGAGCAGGAACCTGAACAACCGGAGCTCTCAGGGCAGGAAGGGAAGCCCACAGGTGTAGATGCTATAACTGAAGATGTGGCTCCTGAGGTAGACACGGTGCTGAATGTAGAGGCAAATGTAGACTTGGAAGACATTTTGGAGACAGATGTTTTCCTTGAGGTTGAAGAGGTTCCATTCACAGAAGCCAGAATCCAAACTTCTCTGCCAGAGGGAGAAGAGGTAACTGAGCAAGGAACAGGGCCTGGAGAGGACCCCTCCTCAGAGATTGACACTTGCTCTATGGCAACGGCACCGCAGACTGTCTTCTCATCATCAGAGAGCAGTCCCATCACACTGACTGCTGCTGTGGTAGGTCCATATGCTGATATTTACCCAAAATGAATCTGGTGTGTCTTTTTTTTCTTCTAAAACTGGGAAAAGACATTTAGAATTAGAATGTGGCTTGGTAATCATGTTGTATAACTACAAATGTGATTGGGTATATTTCTTCACAGAAATCTTAGTTCCTTTCTTTTTGTTTAGTTTTATTGGAGGAATTTTTGGGCTTCAATTTTTGTCCAATGGTGTATACGCGTCAGCCTATCGCAGTATTTGGGCAATGAGCTTCCAACTTCTTTTGAAGTGTCAAGGGGAAAAAAGGGGGAAAATACTGATGCCACGACAAATAAGGCTGTCCATTGAAACCGTATTTCTGATTAGAGTCTTAAAAAATCTGTGGGAGATGCAATGAAGAAACACAAGACAACATGAAATGGGTATACATGAAAGCTACGGGGCAAGAATAACCATAAACCCCCCCTCCTCGGTTTTAGTGGTGCCGTTGGTTAGAAGCTGGGATGGCTAATCTGTGATTTTGGCTTCAACTGCATTTTATGTAGGTTACGTGGATTTAATGCAATAACAGTCTTTAAATTCAAATCTCTTGGATGTGAGTTTCAGTAAAAGCAACAGTAACATAGAAGTTATAAGTTTAGTCTTTTTCTTGGGGGGGTATTGGTTCATCAGATTTGTCATTGTCTTAAAAAATGACAATCTTATTATTTTTGAAACCCTTTAGCTCAGTAATTTCCTCCCTGGTGAATGTTATGTGGTACAGATGTGACCCAAAAGCCAGTTGTTGGGCCTGCTGGCCTAATTTTGGGGCATATCCATTGATGTCTGGCTGAGTATGTCCAATCCTATTATCCGTTGCTTTGACATCATCATATTAGTCCTCTTGTGAGAAATAGGACAATAAAAGTCTGAGCCATATATAGAACAAATGCTCTTTGCTATTTTGGTGTGGCATTAGAGTTCAGAGTGCACAGATAATACTGAGAAGCAGCGCATTTAGCTTTTTCTGTTGGGGAGTATGTGCAAGGTCTTTTTACTTCGAAAAAAACATTTTAGCTTACTTTTTTGGTCCAGTAGAGATTTTCAAGAAATTGAAGACTCAAGGCCCTCTGTGTTCTGTTTCCTCTCCCTTCCAATTTTTTCCACCAATTTTTTTTTTTAGAAAAGGCCTAAAATGCCTAAATTGTAATTCATGTTAACTGTTTTTTTAATGTTGCTATCATCCAAATAAACGTGACTTAATATGAGTCCCCAGTAGCATGATGCTAGATCAGTGTCTGCAACAGATGTTCTATTTGTCTGTTTAGCAGGAAACTGAGGAAGGAGCAGAGACAGCTATAGATCCTGGGGGAAATGTGGAACAAGGCAACAGACCAACTAGTCAAACTGTAGATGATGAAGGTGGTGCTCAAGCCACAGTTATGGAGGCTGAAAGAGAAGTACCACCTGGCAGAGAACGAGAGGAGATTGAAGAGATTAGGGTTAGGAGGCTAAGCTTGCAGGCTGCAGGGGGTGTGGCTGAAGAACAGGAAAAAAAGGAGGCAAAGACACAAGAGGACGTGGCCTCTTTGGATTCAGAACAAGTTGCCACGGAAACGGAAAGAGAGGAAGGTATTCAGCTTAGCAATTTTGACAATGGCGGAGGAATTGATGTTTCCATCAATTAATGGAAACACAGTTCTTAACATACATTGTCACATCATTTAGGAAAAAAAGTATTTTCTGTTGACTTGATATTTCTATGTTCTCTACGCACAGGAAGCCATGTCAATGGCCATCCTGTACGTTCACTTCCTTCTGTGCGTCATGACATTCATCGATACCAGCGTGTGGACGAGCCTCTTCCTCCCAGTGAGTGTGTGTCTGCATGCACCATATTGATGTCGGTTGTGTTTCATGCGTGCGGGTATAGGGGTGTGCGTGTGGGGGTGCAGCAGAAGGTCCTTATCTCTATGTGTCCCAATTAAGATACTTTTCAACACTTTAGGGACTTCTTTTTTCTTAAAAACAGCAACTGCCACGAGATTTTGTAACTTGTATCAGAAACATTTAAAAAACTGTCATTACTACTCCATCCAAGCATATCATTTTTACCGGTAAAGTTTAAATAAAATGAATGTCTAAATTTACAGATTTTCAAGATTGGCCTTGTGTCTTTTTTTTTGGCGAGACCAACGGCCCTTAATTGAAGGTCTATTGTTCATAAACTGTTTGGATCCTATGGCTTTTAGGTTCTTATCTGTTTTCAGCATACTTTGGACTGTTGTATTGGAGCAGAGCAGAGCTGCAACAGGATAGGGGAAGTGTGGCTTTTTTTTAATGCATTATCTTCAATGCACTGGGCTTTTTGTATGTCAATTCATTGTGAGCTTTGCTGTGTATCCCCAGTGAGTACGAGAGGTTATGTCCCTGGCCACACAGAGGTTTAAGAGTATTTCCTGGTTTGGTTATTTTTTGTGTTGCTTTTATTTGTTATTATTTTGTGGAAAAAAATTGCAGCAAATAAAGGCTGAAAGCCACTTACCACACGGGAAGCTTCTTATAAGGTTTCAGGAACTTGTGCTTCGAAGTTGGGGCCCAACACAGAACCCTATGTTCAAGTGCCCTACTGCAAAAGCAATACAAACATTTTACGGATGAGTCCTGAAGGAAATCAGGAAGTATTAAAAGTTGGTGGATAGGATAGCAACTGTTAATGAGGCTGATTATTATGTTGTCAATTTTTTAATCAGTTTGGGGTATAATGTAATGTTAGTTGCAATGTGTTTGTAAATGTGATTAAATATATGTTGAATAAGTAATTAAAATGGAAAATTGTGATGCTTCCCAATTCTGGCATGCTAAATTTCTAAAAACAATATTTGAATAACCCAAAAACCATAACTCAAAATAAACTGAAATACACTAGCTTATCCAAGAACAGGGCATTCAGTATTTCACAAGATTAAGTTTAGCTTTCCACAAAATGAAATGGTTTTGAAACTTTGACAAATATCTACATTTGCATGTTATTGTAACAAATTCAAATAAATCCAAAAATGAGATAATTTGTCATTCTCCTTTTACATTTACACTCATTAGTTCTCAGTTATTACCTTCATTTTTAATAATGTGAATATCTGAGTCAACAAAAGGGGAACATGCATTATTTACAAGGTCAATTTAGTTAAACATTTATTAAAGTTCTTCAAAAAGGAATACAATTCTTTTGCTAGTTTACTGTATTCTAGGCTAGTCTTAGCACTTATTTTTACACTTATATTTTCTTGAGACTTAAAGTTCTTCTTTCTTTCCGTCATTAATTGACTCTCAGACTGGGAGGCTAGGATCGACAGCCATGGAAGAATCTTTTTTGTGGACCATGTGAACAGGACAACTACATGGCAGCGTCCCACTGGACCTCCTGCTCCACAGGGCTTAACCCGCTCCAATTCCATTCAGCAGATGGAGCAGCTCAATCGCAGGTGAACTTTAAAAAGAGCATTCATTCGGACATCAGGGTATTTTGTCAATCAACACAGACTAAAATTATATGGACAAGTTTAGTAGCTTCACCATTAGCAGTCCATTTCAATAGATGAGGAGGCACCTAAGGGAAAAAAACTAATTTGCTGTCTTGCAAGTTAAATTATCCAATTGTGGGCTCTTTTTGGATTTTTCTTCATGTTGCTTCCAGTTTTTCTTTTTTTACTCTTTATATAAAGATATCAAAGCATCAGGAGGACAATGACCAACAGTGATCGGTCAGAGGAAAGCACCACAGACTTGCCTGAACCAGAGGGTGAACTGATGCCCCACTCCATTTCTGGTGAGTATTAATAGAAAAATGCAGAAATGGCATGGAGAAAAAAGTTTCCAAGACACAAGCTATTTCAAGCGTTGTAACTCTGCCTCCACTTTGACGGGATTGTGAATCTGTTTCAGAGTACCGTAGAGAAAGTGCAGTTCCTCATTCCAGCGGTCGTTCGCGCCTCTCCCTGCTGCTCCAGTCACCCAGCGCCAAGTTTCTGTGCAGCCCTGACTTCTTCACCGTGCTGCATTCTAACCCTGTAAGTCTTGGTTCAAATACAATACAGATTTTATGTTTTTAAAAGAGTCAGAGTTCTTATTATCAATAGGTCTTAAATATCATCAACGCTACTTTCAATTCATAACCTTAGAATTACCCCACAGGCGTTTTTTTATGTGTTCTGACTGTGCTTTCTTTATTCAGAGTGCCTACCGGATGTTTACGAGCAACACCTGCCTGAAGCATATGATCAGTAAGGTGCGCCGTGATGCTCATTACTTTGAGCGCTACCAGCACAACCGAGACCTCGTCACCTTCCTAAACATGTTTGCCAACAAACAACTAGAGCTTCCCCGGGGCTGGGAGATGAAGCACGACCATACTGGGAAGGTGGGTATGTGTGGAATTAAAGGGGAGAGAGAACTCATAACATCAAATAACCAGCATATTCTTATCTCTGCTAAGTTGTTTGCAGAGGTTCAGTAGTTTCTTTCTTTCTTTTTCTAAACTGCACAAAAGCAGCCTTTGTCAGATCTGTATTTTCACATCTGATGTGTGCATGCATCTCAATCCTCAGCCCTTTTTTGTGGATCACAACTGTCGCTCAACCACCTTCATTGACCCACGGTTGCCCCTGCAGAGTTCCCGCTCCACTGGGCTGCTCGCCCATCGCCAGCATTTGAGCCGTCAGCGCAGCCACAGTGCGGGAGAGGTGAGTGATGAGTCACTCTGCACAAATGTAGGTTCAGACAAGGTGCCTCTCCTGACGGAGCTGCATAAGTATGAAATCCACACTGAAGTTGGCCCAGGTTTGAGTTTCAGTCAAGCCTATCTTACTCAAACTTAACCAGCATTGCTGAATAGAAGCCAAAAGAAAAAGGGCAAGATTTGTCAGACAAATTAAGGTAGCAAACACCTTAAACCTCATTTATGATTTTCCCTACATTTATGCTTCAATGTTTATATTATTATTATTATTATGGCGGCACGGTGGTGTGGTGGTTAGCACTGTCGCCTCCCAGCAAGAGGGTTCTGGGTTCGAATCCCGGGGGAACCAGGACCTTTCTGGGTGGAGTTTGCATGTTCTCCCTGTGTCTGCGTGGGTTCTCTCCGGGCTCTCCGGCTTCCTCCCACAGTCCAAAAACCTGCATGTTAGGCTGATTGGAGATTGGGGAAATTGCCCTTAGGAGTGAATGTGAGTGTGAGTAGTTGTTTGTCCTTGTATGTCTTGTGTGTGGCCCTGCGATGGACTGGCGGACTGTCCAGGGTGTACCCTGCCTCTCGCCCGTTGACCACTGGGATAGGCTCCAGTTCCCCCCGCGACCCCATGAGGGAATAAGCGGCATTGATAATGGATGGATGGATGGATGTTTATATTATCTCCCGGACAATGTTCAAAAGAACTTCTCAAAAAAGCACCTCAGTGTGCCAACGTACAGTATTTACAAGGCCAAATGTGAAGCCATCTGTCAGACAACTGGCCCTGTTAAAACTGGGTCACGCCACAGGACAATTATCCCAAAAACAGCTGCAGGTCTACATCAGAATGATTGACAAAGAAAAGAGTCAAGCTCCAGCCATCCATCCATCCATTATCGTAACCGCTTATTCCCTAATGGGGTCACAGAGCTCTAGCCATAATCTAATCAAAATCTAGACATCAATCTGATACCTTGGTCGGACCTTTAGGCAGCTGTGCATACATGAATTCCTTCAAACTTCAGAGTTGGTGTAAGGAATCACCTGATCTATTTAGTTTTCATGCACTGCTTTTTAAGTTTGCTTTGTTTTTCCTCATAAATAACACTGTAATGTTGGTCTGTTGTTAATCTAAGATTGCATTTACATAAATGTAAGATTTGAGTGGAACAGAAGGTTTGTTAATATTAATATTATCCATCCATCCATCCATTATCAATACCGCTTATTCCCTCATGGGGTCGCAGGGGGAACTGGAGCCTATCCCAGTGGTCAACGGGCGAGAGGCAGGGTACACCCTGGACAGTCCGCCAGTCTATCGCAGGGCCACACAAGGACAAACAACCACTCACACTCACATTCACATTCACTCCTAAGGGCAATTTCCCCAATCTCCAATCAGCCTAACATGCAGGTTTTTGGACTGTGGGAGGAAGCCGGAGAACCCGGAGAAAACCCACGCAGACACAGGGAGAACATGCAAACTCCACCCAGAAAGGTCCTGGTTCCCCCGGGATTCGAACCCAGAACCCTCTTGCTGGGAGGCGACAGTGCTAACCACCACACCACCGTGCCGCCTATTAATATTATGTTATTATTATTATTATTATTATTATTATTATTATTATTATTATTATTATTATTATTATTATTATTATTATTATTATTATGTTAAAACTTTCTAAACGTGTTTCCACTTGTCTGGAAGATTTATGAGTATCCAGTGGCATAATTGATGTCAGTGTTGGTGATTACTACTTTGTGGATAAGTTGCAGAACTGGGATACAACCTGAAATTTAGTGTTTACTTTTGTCACAGGTTGTGGATGACACTCGCCAAAGTAACCCTCCCATCATCCCTCGTCCCTCCAGCACCTTTAGCGGCTCCAGTCGAAGTCAGTACCATGATGTGGTACCTGTGGGTAGGTTTGTCATCATTGCTCATAAACACAAAAACGACGCATTGTGAACCTTTCTGATTTTCTCTTTTCCTTGCAGCCTACAATGACAAGATTGTTGCTTTTCTGCGGCAGCCCAACATCCTTGAGATTCTTCAGGAAAGGCAGCCTGAGCTTGCCAGGAACCACTCTCTCAAGTAGGCCTTTTTGCGTTGTTATTATTGTTTTTCAACTTCTCTCTGTTCCTTTCAAGCCTTGCTCAACTTCACAAGTTTTATTGTTATCCTAATCTGTCATCCTGAACACATGCTTAACTTTTCATTTGACGTGTGTTCACGTTTTTAGAGAAAAGGTACAGTTCATTCGCAGTGAGGGAGTCACTGGGCTGGCTCGTCTCTCCAGTGATGCTGACCTTGTCATGTTGCTGAGGTAAGTCCCGCGGATACGTAGCAGCGTGCCATCACAGCAGCTCACGATTCTGAATCATTAAATAATACAGACATTTTTTATTAATATATTTCATGTTACCTTTGGAATTGCTTCTCCACTGTTACATGTTTACCTTGCAACCATAGCCATGTAAGCTACAAGTAAGTCACAGTCATGGTTAACTACTGAGTCACTTTCTTTGAGTTTAACATCTGCAATCAGCAGGACTTTTGTGACCATACACATTCAGTGGTCACTCCACTTATATCAGCTTGTTACTGACCATACTTATTACCCTTGCTCTCTTGTCTTCAGCTTGTTTGAGGAGGAAGTGATGTCATACGTGCCGCCATTACTCCACCCAGGTTACTGCATCTCTTCTCCTCAGAGCTCACCTGGTAAATTTGTCTTGATCTCTGCCTGCATCATCCCAACTGGAGCGCCAGTACACATCATAGTTCTATAGTTCCTCTATACACAGATCAATAATACTGATCTTTTTTGTTGTTGAACTTCTTATATCCATTTAATCACAGCTTATTTCAAATGGATGTTCTTTAAGTGACACTTACAAACACACACTTCTGCTCTTGAGCTCACTAATAATCAAAACCCAGCTTTGTTCAGGGATATGCACTTTTTTGTTATTATGTATCAATTTGATACATAATATAATGCAGGATATGAAGGATTAACCTGCATCCAGTAGGTTATGCAGGATTAACCTGCGTCCAGCATTTCAGGTTCTTTTGTCATGCATCCACTCAAGTTTTAACAAGTTTCAGCCAAAACTTTTCAGATAGTTTAAATTGAATGAAATTTGACTGAATTCTATTTGCTTTGTCTGGAGACGTATTATCACTGTATTCCAGTCTGTTTTACCTGTGTCTGTCTATAAATCAGATTTTCTCTCATTTATGTCTCAGGTACCCAGCGAGCAAATGCTCGTGCTCCAGCTCCCTACAAGCGAGATTTTGAAGCCAAACTGAGGAACTTTTATCGAAAGTTGGAGACAAAAGGTTATGGACAGGGACCAGGGAAAGTCAAGTACGTTTCATCTTTACGCATATCTTAGCTCATATTATATTACATGTTGTACTGTGAAAAAAAATGCTCTCTTTCTTTTTAAAGTTTAAAATGTCTGGAGATAATGAAAATGGCTCTTTGTCCAACATCTAAACCTTGGACAAAAGTGGGTGATGCCCTAAAACATTGGTCTGAAGAAACATAATTGATCCAAAAGAAAGTAAATTTATAGAACAAAATCAAGGCAATGTAATTATTGCTGCCAAAGCCAAGCACTCTCACAAGAATTCTCACAAGAACACCATTTTAAATTAATCTTAATACATTTTTTTGCCAAAAAATTATCAGTAATTGATTAAGGCTTCTATTTAAAGTAACATTCAAACCTGTGAATTTTTATTTACTTTTATCATTCAGTATTTACCGGGATCTTTATGTTTTTATGTGTGTTTCTGTCTGTGTGTGCTCACAGGCTCATAATACGCAGAGACCACTTGCTAGAAGATGCCTTCAACCAGATAATGTGCTACTCTCGTAAAGATTTACAGAGGAGTAAACTCTATGTGAGCTTTGTTGGTGAAGATGGGTGAGCAATACATTTTTTCTCCAAACAGTCTATCAGGTTTAACCCTAGATTTCTCCTGTTTATGTGTTGCTAGGTAGGTTATTTTGTAGGCTTGTACATTTTGGTTAATATGAGTTTAGTAAGTTACCTTTTCCTTTCTTTTAAGGTGCTTTTAAAAGTGAGAATGTTTGGTCCGGTGGATTAAATTTGTGGTGTATGTGTTATAGGCTTGACTACAGTGGACCCTCCAGGGAGTTTTTCTTCTTGGTTTCTAGAGAACTATTCAACCCATACTACGGACTGTTTGAGTACTCAGCCAACGACACCTATACTGTCCAGATCAGCCCCATGTCTGCCTTTGTGGATAATCACCATGAGTGGTAAAGTTTCCATCTAACCGTCTGCAAATGTGGATGTAATGTCACTTTTTGAGCTAATTTTCTTTTTTCTGCAATGATTGCTGTGTGCTAGTCCAGTAATGTACGTAATTTGCAGTCTATATTCTTGTATTGAAAATGTTTAAGATTTCAGAACATTATTAAAGTGAGAGTTGGCTGCTGGATCAACACTGTTTGTGTCCTGTTGTTTTTGTGTCCAGGTTTCGCTTCAGTGGGCGCATCCTGGGGCTGGCTCTTGTTCATCAGTACTTGCTAGATGCCTTCTTTACCCGTCCATTCTATAAGGGCCTTCTTCGCATGTAAGCATCTCTCCCCACTTCCAGCCTATCTCAGCTGACATTGGGTGAGATGCTTGAAGTCATTCCCTTCAAGCATGATCTTCACAAGTGTGCTGCCCTCATAAATTTGCTGTTAACCATTAGGTTTAAGGAGAAATGTCAGCTGGACTCGAGTTCTTAAATTCCAAAATTAATATCCATCTTTAGTTCATCTTAAGTGAGAAGTTTTTATTTTAAAAAACAAAATTGTTCACAAACCTGCAGGAGCTTATGATTATGCATTTATGGTTCTGATGGTAAACCCTCAACATATAGATGGGTATGGTTTAGGAGAAGGGCCCTCCTCCTGAATGCTGTCAGTAACTTCTGTCTGGGAATCCTTCTTGAAGACCCTGTGACCTGAGTGACCTGGAGTTCCTTGATGAGGAATTCCATCAAAGTCTGCAATGGATGAAGGACAACGACATTGAAGACATGCTGGACCTTACCTTCACTGTCAACGAGGAGGTCTTTGGACAGGTGCCATCTTCTTGTGCTTATTCTGTTTGTGGCGAAGTGCTAATTGTGGGGACAAAGTTTACATTTAATGTCTTCCTTTGGTTTTGAAGATAACAGAAAGAGAGCTGAAGCCAGGTGGGGCTGGTATCCCTGTTTCAGAGAAGAACAAGAAGGAGTACATTGAGCGAATGGTCAAGTGGCGCATAGAGAGGGGAGTCGCACAGCAAACAGAGAGCCTTGTCCGAGGCTTCTATGAGGTAATACACTATAGAATTAGCTGAAACAGTCATCAGTATATTAACCCAAAGAAGTATATCTTTTCTCAGTGATATTTTTCCACTTGATTATAAAGCCAATCAATGATCATTTGCGAAATTGGGCGAAAAAACAAGGCAGTCCACTGAAATAATTTAGTAAAGCAATCTTTTAATCAAGAAACCTTGTGATTTATTTGGGCTATAATGAGAAAAAATTGTGATAATATAATCATTTGTCCTTGCTTAAATTTAAGCTTTTACAAACTTGACTAGTATTTGAAATTGTTGATGCATGTACTATAATATTTTGAACAAACAACTAAAATGTTTAAGCAGGTTGTAATGGAGTCAGCAATGTCTCACTGTTGAGGCATCTGGCAAAAACTGCAGATAGTGGAAAAGTTATGGCAAGTGGTTAGTATAGCTTATTCCATATTACAAACAATGTTGCATGAGTGCCCAGTGTTTATAAGCATGCTCTAAACACTTCCTTATTCTCAACAACCTAATGAAAGGTTTTTCACTATCATATGTAGTTGTTTATCTTCATATTCAAGAATTACTGTAACTACATAACAAATCTAGAAATCAATTGACAGTCAGTTGCACAGGGCTTTTGAGGGTGATAAATAGAGCGCCGATACTGTTCATTCCATGCATTTCTGTGTGTTTGTTTGTTAGGTGGTGGATGTCAGGCTGGTGTCTGTGTTTGATGCAAGGGAGCTGGAGCTGGTTATTGCTGGAACTGCAGAGATTGACCTGGCAGACTGGAGGAACAACACAGAGTACAGAGGAGGTATGTGAAACTGAAGGGCAGGAGTGTGGCACTTAAGGTGAGACCAAACCCAGTTTTGTCGGAGGGCTTGGACAGGCAACATTGTCTATTTATATATCAATACCTCTTATCCACTATTGGCTTGCTTCAGTAAGTGGTAGTGTACATTAGATACCTTGATAAACCTATTTTCTTCAGTTTTTCATGTCTAAATTTGCTGGAGATAATGTCCGGCATCAAATGGAATACCAACCCTTAAGAGGTACTGTGTAGAGCTTGTCAAGAGGCAAAACACTACACACATGATGGATGACGGGGAATGCATGTCCTTCGAGGAAAACAGGCCTAACCCAGTTTCCAAAACTGAAACTGTCACTGAAAAGATTGACACTCTCGTGCAGAAGAAGTTCACTGAGCTTAACTCTCTTCTGGGAAACCTAAGTATTTGTGTTGAAGACAATGCAAAGCGAATAACTGAGACTGAGAACTGCATTTCTTATGGCAAGGACCGCATAACCACTCTGGAGAGAACAAGCTTGTTGAATTTGAAAAAAGAGTGAAAATTACCGCTGATTAAGACTAGGACAACATAAATTAGACCCACAGAGATGATAAACGAATTGTTGGTTCCAAGGAAGGTGCAAAGGGGAAATATGAGACCTAGCTTCCAGATATGTTGGGTCTCCAGACTAAGCGAGGCTTGAATAAACTTGACCAGGCACTCAAAGGCCTTTGCCCTGAACGGAAAAAATTGCAATCGACATATTATTACCAAGTTGCCCAAGAGAAAGGCAGGACAAAAGGATTTATGTAAATCTGCCACACCTGTCAGAGAAGGTGAGTGAAGCCCAACGTCAGTTCCATGGGACATGCAAAGGAGGATTAAGGTTCCAGATGCACTTCCCAGGCAGCCTATGCCTTATTTTCAATGCATAGGTAGGATGCTTCAAAAGCCCATAGGAAGCACAGGAATCTCTGAGCAAAAGTTTTGAGCACTAAATTAGGATTATTTTTGAGTGTTTTTACATAGTTTACATAGTGGACATAGAAATAAAGGTTTTAAACCTTGGTGTTGATTCGTTTAGTACACATTCATTTACAAAGTTTATGATCACAGAAGGGCGGCACGGTGGTGTGGTGGTTAGCACTGTCGCCTCCCAGCAAGAGGGTTCTGGGTTCGAATCCCGGGGGAACCAGGACCTTTCTGGGTGGAGTTTGCATGTTCTCCCTGTGTCTGCGTGGGTTCTCTCCGGGTTCTCCGGCTTCCTCCCACAGTCCAAAAACCTGCATGTTAGGCTGATTGGAGATTGGGGAAATTGCCCTTAGGAGTGAATGTGAGTGTGAGTGGTTGTTTGTCCTTGTATGTCTTGTGTGTGGCCCTGTGATGGACTGGCGGACTGTCCAGGGTTTACCCTGCCTCTCGCCCATTGACCACTGGGATAGGCTGCAGTTCCCCCTGCGACCCCATGAGGGAATAAGCGGTATTGATAATGGATGGATGGATGGATGGATGATCACAGAAATAATTAAATCGGACATTTGTTGTTGCCCCATTTTTTAAATGTGCAGGGTACATGTCACCATGTAATCGCGTGACTTCCTGTGACTGGCTAAATGTCGACATTGGTTCATGTATTAGGCGTTCCTTCAGCCCTGATTATGTGATAAAGTTATAACTGTTTAGTGGGGCCATCCCGTTGTGGAAATGCACCCTGTAGAGCCATGCTGTACTGTGCTAAGTGGGCACTAGTGGAGATGCGCCATTTGGGGCCCTGTGATTGCCAAGTGTCGTGTTCAAGCTGTGCACCCCATTTTTCCTGTTTATTGGGAATGCTGGGATAAGCTCGAGCTTGTCAAACAATTCTGACTTGGAAAAATGGGTATAAAAAATTTGCAGATTGATAAAATTCTATACCTACTCTGTGTTGATATGTACCCAAGAAAGGAAAATGTTCCTTGACAAAAACAAGACAAAGTTGATTTGATAAACAAGGACTGCCCATAATTATTACCTGGGCTGTTACTATATTCTTGTGCCGGGACAGGTTGGGGTTTTTAGATAAAAGCAGCTCTTTATCTGCTGCACACATTATATGCATTTCTGGAGACCATGTGACCTACACCAACTTGTCCAGGGATTCAAAGCAACCACCGTTGTTTTCTTCTGCTGACATACATTCAGCAGACAATAACATAAAACTATAATGCATATCATGTAACACTGGAAAGTCAGTCAGCAATTATGGTAAATCTATATTACATTACATTTCATATGTCCTTAATATAAGTGAGTTTTTTGTAGTTTTTTTTTGCAGGGTATGGCTACAATACATAACATAGGTTTCGACTTAAAGAAAGAATACCTTATGTTACATGATAAAAAACTTTATTAAACATAACTACAATATGCTTCATAATAAGCTTTAGATTCATATGTTTTGAAATCCTATTTAATGCTAAATTAAATTGTATGATTGCATTGGATAACGCGGGAAGTCAAAACTGTCCTCAACAAGAAGAAGGCTGCCTTCAGGAGAGGAGACAGGGAGGCCATGAAGGCAGCTCAGCAGGAGGTGAAGCAGTGTGTGAGGGAAGCAAAAGACAGCTACAGGAGAAAGGTGGAGCAGAAGCTGAGAGAGAACAACATGAGGGAGGTCTGGGAAGGTGTGAGGACCATCACTGGTCTCAACACAAAAACCAGAGCCGTTGGGGGAACAATGGAGAGGGCAAACGAGCTGAATATCTTCTTTAACAGGTTCAACCAGCCCATGCCCCCCCAACCCCCTCTCTCGCTGCAGACACCTTCCCTCCCCACCACACACCTCCCCCCAGACAACACCCCCCCGCACACCTCAGCTCAATCTCCGCCCCACATCACCACAGACCAGGTCAGAGAACAGCTGAGGAAGCTCAAGCCCAGGAAAGCAGCGGGGCCGGACCAGGTGTGTCCAAGACTCCTGAAGATCTGCGCTGCTGAACTGGGAGAGCCACTACAGCGGATCTTCAACCTCAGCCTGCGGCTAAGGGAAGTGCCCACCCTCTGGAAGACATCCTGCATCGTTCCAGTGCCCAAGAAGAACAGGCCCAGTGAGCTGAATGACTTCCGGCCCGTGGCACTCACTTCACACCTGATGAAGACGTTCGAGCGGCTCTTCCTCGGCCTCCTCAGACCTCAGGTGCAACATGCTCAAGACCCCCTGCAATTCACCTACCAGCCAGATGTTGGTGTGGAGGATGCCATCCTCTACCTGCTGCACCGGGCCCACTCCCACCTGGACAAGGGCAGTGGCACAGTGAGGATCCTTTTCTTGGACTTCTCCAGTGCCTTCAATACTATCCAGCCCCTTCTGCTCCAGGACAAACTACACAGCATGGGAGTGGACCCGCACCTGGTCACCTGGATCCACAGCTACCTCACCAACAGGCCGCAGTATGTCAGGCTGAAGGACACCAAGTCTGACACTGTGGTCAGCAGCACAGGAGCCCCCCAGGGCACAGTGCTGGCCCCTCTTCTCTTCACCCTGTACTCCTCTGACTTCCATTACAACTCAGAGCTGTGTCACATACAGAAGTATGCTGATGACACAGCCATAGTCGGATGCATCAGGGATGACAGAGAGGAGGAGTACCGACATCTGGTGGGGGACTTTGCCCTTTGGTGCCACACAAACCACCTGGAGCTCAACACCTCTAAGACAAAGGAGCTGGTTATAGACTTTGGGAGGTCCAGACCAAAGCCGAGACCAGTCGTACCAGAGGGAACTGAGGTGGAGGCCGTGGACTCCTACAAGTACCTCGGGGTGTGGTTGGACAGCAAACTGGACTGGTCAAAACACACCAGCAACCTGTACGGGAAGGTACAGAGCAGGATGTACTTCCTCAGGAGACTGCGGTCTTTTAACATCTGCAACAAACTACTGTGTATGTTTTACCAGTCTGTGATAGCCAGTGTCCTCTTTTACACCGTGGTGTGCTGGGGAGGTAGCACATCCAAGAAGGACACGTCCAGACTGGACAAACTGATCAGGCGGGCCGGCTCCGTGGTCGGCATGAAGCTGGACTCTCTGGTGACGGTGGCAGAGGCCAGGACACTGAACAAACTGATGGACATCATGGCCGACAGCAGCCACCCTCTGCACACCGTCACCAGCAGCCAGAGGAGCCTGTTCAGTGACAGACTGCTGCTCCCCAAGTGCCGGACCAATAGACTTAAGAACTCTTTTGTCCCCCACGCCATCAAACTGTACAACACCTCACTGGGGGCGAGGAGGTGACACAGGACAGGGGGAAGAGAGATCACATACACTGTACTTAATCTGTATTTCTTGTATTTTTATTTATTTATTTGTATATTTTTGCTTAAACTGATTCTAACTTGACACTGTTTGCCCTTTAAGCTGCTGGTAACCTTAATTTCCTGAGGGAGTCTTCCCAAGGGATCAATAAAGTACTGTCTAAGTCTAAGTCTAAGTCTAAATAAAAATTGAAAGGTCTGGCTATTAGAATTGAAAAGCTGCCAGCATTTAAGAGGCAGGGAAATCAAACTGACTGTCAGCTATGATGCACTGACAGATTTTTTAATAAAAAAAGGAGGAGGAGGAAGAGGAGAGAACTGAGGAAAAGGGGATGGAGGCCTTATTTGTGATTCACGCACCACCTTCTTGCCCCCCCCCCCACCCCCAGGTTACCATGACAACCATATCGTGATTCGCTGGTTCTGGGCAGCTGTGGAGAGATTCAACAATGAGCAGAGACTAAGGCTCCTGCAGGTAAGATGTCTGTGTAAGCGCATGCTGCCAACATGTGGAAGCAGGCTGCCAAGTCGTATTTATTTCAACAGTGATTGATACTGATCAATCACTTACTAACTTACTACTAGCTTACTAACACAAGGTTACAGATGTTATTGTAATTTCTCCTTGGTTTTAAATCATATATTTAAGCAAATGAGAGATTCTTATGGCATCTTATGATAACAATCACAAGTCAGAAAAATTGGAAAAATGCAAGTTACAAAGAAAAGACTGAGATTTTAATATTTGAACTGAATTTTATTCAGTTTCCACATCTAATGAATGTGGGATACATGTTTTCATTGTTCATCCTCGGGACTTGAAAAATTGTTCTCGAATCTCGATTAGCTTTCCTCCGTCAATGTTAATGTACTTTACCATGGACGCTAATATTGAGCAATTACAGAGCCTTGCTTTTGCCAGTCAAGCAGTCTTGTGTTGAATAGAGATCGCAGTGTCTCTCGGCCAATTATGATTGGTCTGACCACAGTACATGTTTCTACTGGGTCAAGGTCCGTCGCCTCTGGACAAGCTCTGAAACTTCCCCCATTTGACTATGAAATATTTTCCTTTGTCTGAACATTGTTTTGAAATATATCGGTTTTGCACATGTTTCTTGACAAATCTTCTATCCATCTTTGCATTTCAAAGAGTCAAGCAATTTTATACTACTTTCAAAGCAAATTGTGATTAGCCTTTGATATTACAAAATTTTCACTTTTTCAATTTCATTTGTGCCACTAAATTGTTCAAGTCCCATGTTGTTTAAGGTATTTAGTACAACAATGTATCTATAACTATAACCACAAATACATTGCCAGTGCAAAGTATGCAATATTATGGGCTCATACATCTGCAATGTGTTAAATCATGTTCTGTGTTGATTTTTGTTCAACACAGAACGTTTTCTGATCTGATGCTTAGAAAAGCTTTTCAGTGAGATTATTCCAATTGATACTAAATTAATCAAATTGATATTCTCTATCTGAAAATTCAAATGAAACTTACCTCTGTCCAAACTGATGTTTCATAACTTTCCATAATTGTGACCGTTACCATCTTCCTTTCTCTAGTTTGTGACGGGGACCTCAAGTATCCCCTATGAAGGTTTTGCATCGCTACGAGGCAGTAATGGACCCCGCAGGTTTTGTGTGGAGAAGTGGGGGAAAATCACCTCCTTACCCAGGTAAGATGCAGAATTGTGTACACACACATGAATGCACACTTGAACACAAATACATGTACTATGTACATATGTATATGTACATAGATACATATGAAAATAATTCTTATTTTTCCTCATCAGATGGTTATCAATTTTTATCAATTTATTTGATGTGATTTTCTGGAATTTTCTTTGGGATTCTGTCTTTCACTGTTAGAATGTACATATGATTAAAGTTATATATCGTTGCATTCTTTGTAAGTGGGCAAACCGGCAAAATCAGCAAGGGGTCAAATACATATTTCCCCCACTGTATGTACAGAGGTTCCCAAAAAAATATATATATACTTTAAATAATCGTAAAGTAGGTGTTTATTTTAATTTATTCAATTTCTAAAATGTAACAGAATTAATAAATCCTTATTTTACTCTTTTGTCACCATTCTTTTTTCAATCTGGCATTTTTTGGGACGCCCTATATATGTGGAGGATATTTTTAGTGCCCATAAATATAGGCACTATGTGTGTGCGTGCGTTTGTGTGTGTATTTGTGCATGCGTTTTTGTGTGTGTATGCATGCATGCAAACGTAAAATTTGATTTTTTGTAATCCTAAACCGTGCTAAGCATCTCTGGGATGGCTTTAATATTGCTGTATTTTACTGTTCCTGACTAACATTGAACAATGGTAATAACTTTCAGAGTAAACACATACATACCCTGTAGAATCTTTTTCAAGAGCACACAGGGCTCTCATTGCTGCTTAATTAGCCTGAAACTGGTATTAAAATCTTGGGATTCCAATGCACAACACTTAAAATGCTATTTTTTTTATTTTTTAGCGTGGATGTTCATGGATCAGCATGCAACACACCACACCTACACAACCTTACTTTCTTAAAGAAACAAATTCCAGTTTTTAGGGATTTTTTCTTTGAGTTTGGGGCAGATGTAGCTCAGGAGAAAGTCATTCTCCATCGGTATGAAGGTCTGTGGTTTGACTGATTCTCCAAGCCCTATGTCGGAATGTTATTCACCGGGACACTGAACCCCACTTTTCCTACCAATGCATTCATGCGTGTGTTAGAGGAAAAAGCTGAATAGACTAAGAAATTCTGAAGAAATATAGTACAGTTACCATAAATGTATTTAGTAACCATCTGCAAATCTTTCTGCTTGTGTCTCCACAGGGCTCATACGTGTTTTAATCGTCTGGACCTACCACCTTACCCTTCCTTCTCAATGCTCTATGAGAAGCTGGTCACTGCTGTTGAGGAAACTAGCACGTTTGGCTTGGAGTAATGTCAAATCAGCTGGCAGCCAAGGTTGAGCTGGGAAGGAAGAGTCATTTGGAATTATTTGTTTCCAGCTTTGGAAGGGCATGGGAGGGGGGACAAAAAACTCATTTCCCTCACAAGGCTACTGACTCCCAGTGAACAGCTCTGCTATATTTCTCCATCTGGCTTTACGTCACTCAGCATGCACGTCTCCGATTTTCTGCCTTTCTGTCTCATTATGACATTGATCAAGTAAGAAAAACTGAAAATAAGAAGAAAGTTTGAACAGCTGTACAGTACAAATTCTTGTTTTCATGGTAATCTGTGTTCACTGAGCCACATGTGTGCTTTATCTCTTTAGTTAATGGCCTTGGTCACTGAATTTCTTACAGCTTCACTTAAGCTCCTCCTCCAAACTGCATCTCAGAGATAGCTGTTCCATAAGCTCCTTCTCCCCATCCAGACCTTGAAACTGTGTCTATCTCGCGTTGAGGCTACAGCATTATGAGATATAATACACAATTTACACATTTTCTTTTTATTCATCATACAAGCCAGTGTTTCACCTGAGAACTTTGGTCTGCATGGAAAGATGACACATGATAAACTCCAAAGCAAAAGTTAGCCAGTCTCCTCCTTCTTATCTTATGGAAGGGGAATACAATGGTGAGCATAAATACACATATCACTTCTTCTAAAACTAAAAATACACTTGTTTGCAAAGTTTTCTTCCTCATTAAGATAGATAGGGAGTGACAAAATGTGTGATCTAGGTCAACCCCTTGGTGAAAATGATGGCAAGTTCTGCTCGGGGCTGTTTCAGACAATACTGCAGAGCACTAACATTAGTTGCAAAGTTTTGGAAACATCTGAGAAAAACTTTTTCTAGTATGAACGTATCATCAGTCACTCAGTCAAATTGAAATTCAGGATTTCACAGGTTCCTGATGAGCAATACACAAACTTCCACTTACAAACGGGTGAAACTTGCTCTCATGTTTAAAAAACATGAGCTTGTTCCCACTGACATAGTCTCTTTCAACCCAGTGAAAAGTGTACTGTACCAAATCACTGAGTGAATGTATCAGCCTCAAGCAGCTCTGTTTACCCCTGTCACACAATCCTGAGAAGAAAGACAAGGTGGAAAAGTTGATGCAGAAGATTTCAATTGTGGCTAAACTCATTGGCATGATATAAAAGGTACCTGCTGAGCTGGGTGCAGTCATATGAACTGATTTTAGTGCCTTTTAGGTATTAAAAGAAAGCAGAGAAGATTAAAGTATTTCATACCTCAAGGATGTTGAGTCTAAAGAGCTGCAGTTTAAAAAGCCAAGTGTCAACACAAATAAGGCACCAATGTGCTCTACTATTACAGTGGGAATAAAATTAAAAGGAAAATTATTATCATGTTACTGAATGGCCTGACCACATGAAATGGTGATGTTGCAATTACCTTTTAGAACCTGTGACTTTTACCCCACTGCGGTCTTAAATCCATTTCTCTTCCTAAGTACACACCCCAGCCTCTAAAAACCCTGTCACTCTCATAAACTTTAATACATGTGCAGACACACACACACACACAGGAAAAAATGCATATTTGCTCATTTTTCTATGGGGTGCATGCAAGATTACACCTTCTGTACAGACACCTGTTAGTCCACCTGGACTGGGATTGCGGTTAAGCGCCCTCAAATTTGATTTGAGATGTGGAAGCTGACCATCGGTTTCTCAGATGCCTCATCCAAGCCCAACAATGCATGCAGGATGTGCCTGGTAAGCTCTGTGAGCTCAGCTTGGCAGAAACTCCCAGGTGGTGTTGTGTTATAGCTTGATATTGCATGCTGAAATAGAACAACACACTGTCCCTACTAACTTTTTTGCATGAGGATATTGCTATCCATTCAGACAAAAGGAGCTGGTTAAGTCGTGTCAAGTTGGTTATGACACTCACTCGAAGCATGCGGCCTTATGCTTACCTGACACTGTCAAAGCTTGAGTGTTTTGCTCTGCGGTTGAGAATGTGTGGAGTAGGTGATGAATGGACCATGTGTGACTGTAGTTTTCTCTTAGACAGTGTAAGACTGAGTATTTTGGCAGCATGTTTCTAAACTCTTGTTACATTCACATGTGTGTGTCTGCCTACCTTTGTAATAGGTTGATGGTTATGGTTCATTGCCCATGATAAAGTAATGAATCAGTAGGGCTGTTTGATTTTAGAGAAATGTGAGAGCACATGAATGTGTACCATGTGCGCAGTCCTTATTGTCTCTTTGTATATAACTATATGTTCGTCCTGTTGTGTGTATAAATATATATTTTGCACTGAATGTACCAAAGTTTGGGGCTTGCAAAGTCAATCATTAGGTGTGCTCTCGATTTCGGTCTAACCAACACATCCTACGTTTGGCTTATGCTACATTCTTGCAGAACATCCCCTCATGTTTGCTTGACAGGCAGATGTGTGGCATGGGCAGCAATGCTTCAAGTTAGGATAGACTGTACATCACTTGGCCAGTTATTCAGTCACAACAATGAAGCTTCTCTGAAGTAGAGGAATTGTAATACTTCCCTTCATATCCAGATGAAGACAGCTGCACCTCTAATCTCTTCTCAAACATTTCTGACAGGACCCAGCTCCACTTTTCAGAATTTCACACTATGCAAAGCTCCTGTATGTGTGTCTACATTTCACTCAAATGATTGTAATAAAAGAGAACAAATCAAACTTATTTATTAGCATGTTTTGTTACTTATATACTGAGAGATAAAAAGCCCAAAGCAGTCATCTGATCTTTAGCACTTTTTTAAAGTACATGAAATAAACAATAATAGTGTTTTTCCATAGCAAGACAAAATCTAAGCCAAAATGCAGAAGCAATGTGGGTTTTTTTCATATTTTTGAGAACTTTTTTGTTATTAAAAAAATCTCAAGGTTCATCATAGCTATCTTTACAAGTTGGGGGCTGGATTTTGCAACACCTTGATTTTTGCTGGTGTGCTTGTGGTCATTGTCCTATTGCACGACCTCCCATTTGACTCTGGAATATTTTGGTGTACTTCAATGAGCTGAATACTGCGTGAGATCCTTCGCTTGCCAAACCAGCCCCAATGGACCTCCCGACCAATGTGTTTGAAAATTGGTATGGGGTGTTGTTTGGTTTTCAGATAAGGTGGTGGTAAGAATTGTGAGCTTTCTCTTGGCAAACTTTCCCGACAAGCCACACTTGCACAGTTTGAATCTGTATCGTGCGGTTACATTTAACATACTAACCTAGGCCTGTGGAGTCTTTTTTATTTTATTTTTTTAATAATAGTAATTATGAATGATTCTCTGTCTGACTTAGACATGTAGTAACTGGCATTTCCATTCCTGGGCTGACTGGACACTGTCTTTAAAGTTTACCACTTGTGAATAACATTTCTCACTTTAGAATGATTAAACTAAAACAGTTCAAAAGTCTTCTCATGGGATAAGTAGAAACAACTGCTCGTCTAATACTATGAATGATGTCTATACTCATTTTCGTTGTGTGAACACACTATCATTTACATAGTCTCACATGATGATGATGACCAAGTGCATTGGAAGGGCACAAGGTTTCTGCATTTTTGCTTTAATTAAAAATAAAGTCAGTGTATGTAATATGTGTAATGAATTTGGGTCCGTATTTATCTAACTAAAAACTAAAAGCTGGTGAATGACACATTTTACAATATCTTGATACTGAACACCTGTGAAGTTATATTTCTACTCAGGAAAAGTCTTACACTATCCCATTTATTGTCGTTAGTTTGACTGATAGAACTCGGACACCATTTTAAAATACAATAGTACGCCTGCGCGAGAGTGACGTGTTTGGGCTGTGTCAGAGAGAGGGACGTAAAGTAATCGAGAGAGCTTTGGACACACTGACTACGTTAACTTATACTTGGCCACTCTGCCGTTTGAGGAATATTTCCATTTGTATTACTAGTTTGCGTACATTTCAATATCTATGCCATAATTTCGGCTGGCATTAACTGATAAAACGTATTTTCTGCCCGCGACAGTTGAGCTAAGTTAGCGACAGTTGGGCTAACTGAAGTCAGGAAACTAGCCGTGCGAGACTAAACATTAGTATGGTCATATTAAATATTGCCAAACAGGTAGTGCTAATGTTGGCTAGGAGCTCCGGCTAGTTCTTGAAATTACGGAGCAGTTTGCCCCCATCCGACTTGCCGGCAGTGGAGTTAATAACGAGGCGAGAGAAAGATGTCTCGAAGGCGGCTGGACAACCGCAGTGGACTCTCCGCTGGACTGCTCGGAGAAATTCAAACCCCTATTAGTATTGACTCAATGGAGAGCGTGTATGAAGTCACCGGAGAGATTGGGAGGTATGTGGAACTACTTTAACGGCTGTTGACGAGCGCTTGACCGAGAATTAGACTGCTGAATTGCAGGAAGATTTTGTAGTTCCTCTGTCCTAGGTTGTTCCAACAATGTATTGTCGAACACTCATAAATTTCAGTGTATCTGTAATTTAATCTGAAACCAAACTGAGCCTCCGAACGCACTGATTTGATCAGTACATTGAAAGTAGCTAGCGGTAGAAAGCTGGACACTTATAACACAGCATTTTGAGAAATTATAAATACTACTGTTTGGATTTGCTCGAGTAAGGTATTAGATAAGTAGTTAGCTGCATTAATGTTGACCGAGTTAGTAACCACTTCAAGTTGACGGACGAGTGCAACAGTAGATATTTAGTCACGCCTATGTGCGCATCGTCCACCATCGACGCCCGATTTTCATACGCCGTTCAAAAAGCTCACACTGAAAGTAGACTTTAGAAACGAGAACTTCTGCTCACTTGTTTGTGCATACTGTCAAAACAAGAAGCTGCAGGGGAACGTTTCTCACATCATAATGATATCATGGTTTGTTTGTTTGTTGTCTTAAAATAATAAACAGACAGATCTGTCTAACTTTACCACTGATAATGATGTGTTCGTGATATATTACAGCTAAGCTGTTGGTAGAGAGATTGCAAAAAAGTGTTATTTTGACACATTAAAACTGGTTGTAATGGAGATGACTACATAATGTCTGTAATGTATTCCCATATCCAAAGAGATGTCTTTACAGACTAGACAATATCAATAACTGTATCAACCTGTGTTGCAGGAGATACACAATGTGCCTGTAATATTTGCAATGTGCATGTGGTTGGTGAGAGCTTCAAGTCAATTATATCACTTAGATATTCTTAGACTTGTGGTTCTGTCACAACAAAATGGCATATTGCTGTAATATTTGACATTACCTTGCCAAACTCATAGTAGTTGATAAAATCATGAAGATGTTCCCCATGTTTGAGCTTCTTATGCAGTTTTACTTGTGAGTTTTTTTTTCACTACTGTAAGAGCAAGGCTATCAACAGTTCAAGTAAACATGACATTTTACTCTGCCTGAAGACAATCCATTGTTATCACTGAATGTGAAATGACCAGCCATCGCAGAGGTAAATTTTTCTCGTAAAACACATTGTTATAGATCATAGATTCGTATCGAACTGACAAACGCACTGCATTTTCTTAAACCGAAGAGACAGTTGTTTTTTTTGGTACAGTAGTTTTAAAGAAAACATAGTAGATGATGAGACCGACGATAAATGAGGAATGGTGCTATAAAGAAGTCTTACTCATTCGGTGTAGAAATTTGTCCTTGTTGGTCTAATGTTGGTAGCTGTCCCCACAGACACCAACTGCAAAGCTACAGTACAATATGAGCTGAATGCCTGGATATCTTCTGAGAAGCTATCTGTGCTGACTAATTGAGGAAGTGCTAAAAATGTTTATAGTCCATTTGGATATGCTGTTTGATTGCTGTGCTTTTGGTTCATCATTCATATAGCAAGTCCTCGTTACTATTTTTTAATATGTAAAGTGAAACCTAATTGTGTTTTGATATTTAATTAATGCATAGAGTTACTATGCACCAACCTATGAGGAATGAGCTTGCAATGGATTACCGGTACATGTGGCACTAACACTACTTCATAGCTGCACCTATTCCAAATAGTCAAATTATATTTATTTTTAAAGTTTTATGGTTTTACCTACACTGTATTGTCTTAAGTTATATAATCACTAATGATACTAATCAACATTCCCTGTGACCACTTTGTTCCTCACCATTGTGTTGCCTCTAGAGGCAAGTTTGCTGTGGTCAAGAGATGCGTGGAGAAGACCTCTGGGAAAGTGTTTGCTGCCAAGTTCCTACGAAAGAGGAGGAGAGGTCGCGACTGCCGGGCAGAGGTGGTCCATGAGATGGCAGTCCTGGAGATGGCCCGCAATAACACCCGGGTGGTCAACTTGCATGCTGCACATGAAACGGATCATGATATAATATTAATACTGGAATAGTAAGTACTGTGTTCCGGTTGCTGTTACTTTTTCAATTTAAACTATGTTTTACCGCATTTGTTGCATCTACTTACTTCCTTGTCTTGTGAAAACCTAACACTCACTAAATGCCTGTGCCTCAAACGTGGTCATTTAAGCTTGATTCTTTAAATACCCTACACCTAGGGGCCTAGTCCTATTTGTTCAGTATGAAGAAACTATCATATTTACTGTTGTTTTTTTATGTAAAGCCATGCAGGCCATTAGTCATAACAGGTTTATCAGGATTTGGCTGAGGACTTAAAAGGCTGTGCATGGAAAATAACTGAACGGCCTGAGCTGAAACTCTACATCTAGTCAATGGGAAAAACATCCCCTCTTCTATCTGTTTCACTGTTAAATTATGTTTTTTGTTTTTTTTGACAAAAAATTGTCTTCCCGATCTTTCATCATGTCTCCTTAAAAAATGTAAACATCTTCAAAGTAGAAGAAAATGTGTCATCTTAAAATTGATCTAGTTGTTTTTTAATGGAATTTTAAGATTTGTTGAGACGCATTTTTAACAAAAAGTACTTGCAATGAATTCTTCAATTTTTATATTTTTAGTTGGTCTACTCCTACTGCAAGTAAGCAGGAAGGAATTTGCTCTCTTTCACGAAAAGCTTTCCAGAACATGCTAAACCAAACCCTGAATATAAAACAGTGTTTGAAACCACTACATCACCCCCACAATATATAAATACCATTCTAATAATTCTCTTCAAGGTCCACCGAATTGTAAATGCATCAAATGTTTCAAAACTGCAGGGCTGCCACGTTATCGTTGTGTAGAGGTTTGAGTGTTCCAATGATCCTAGGAGCTAAGTTGTCCGGGGTTTCAAGCTCCTGGTAGGATCACCCAAGGCAAACAAATCCTAGGTGAGGGATCAGACGAAGCGCAGCCCAAAGACCCGTTATGATGATCACGGTAAATTGATCCAGTGTTCCCTCGCCCGGACGCCGGTCACCTGGGCCCCACTCTGGAGCCAGGCCCAGAGGTGGGGCACGTTGGCGAGCGCCTGGTGGCCGGGCTTTCGCCCATGGAGCCCAGGCTGAAGAAGCAGTTCTATCAGGCCTTTTTGGCCTGTGGGATTCCAGAGGCAGCCGATGGTTTTCAGCAGTCCAAGTGGCATGTGGCTCGGGTTGTTGCTGAGGCGAAAACTCGGGCGTGGGAGGAGTTCGGGGAGGCCATGGGAAAAGACTTCCGTACGGCTTCGAGGCGATTCTGGTCCACCATCCGGCGTCTCAAGGGGGGGACGCAGTGCTCCACCAACATTGTTTACAGTGGGGATGGTGCACTGTTGACCTCAACTCGTGACGTTCTGGTTTGGTTGGCAGAGTACTTTGAAGACCTCCTCAATCCCACTGGCACATCTTCTATCAGAGGAGCAGAGCCTGGGGATCTGGAGTCGGGCTCTCCAATCTCTGGGGCTAAAGTCACCGACGTGGTCAAAAAGATCCGCAGTGGCATGGCTCTGGGGGTGGATGAGATCCGACCAGAGTTCCTCAGGGCTCTGGATGTTGTAGGGTTGAATTGACTGTTGCGACTCCGCAATATTGTGTTGACATTAGGGGCAGTTCCGCTGGATTGAGTGGTGGTCCCCCTATTCAAAAAGGGGGACCGTAGGGTGTTTTCCAATCACAGGGGAATTACACTCTTAACCATCCCTGTGAAGGGACGGTTCTGAAGAGGAGGGTCCGTCGGATAATTGAACCTCGGATTCAGGAAGGGTGTTTAGGGTAGGGAGCGTGAGATCGACAGGCGGATCAGTACGCTGTTGGCTGTAATGTGGGCGCTGTACCGGTCTGTCATGATGCTTAAAGGCGAAGCTCTCGATTTATCAGTCAATCTACGTTCCCACCTTCATATATGGCCACGACCTTTGGGTAGTGACCGAAAGAACAAGGTCGAAGATACAAGTGGCTGAAATGAGTTTCCTCCGCAGGGTGGCTGGGCTCTCCCTTAGAGATAGGGTGAGAAGCTCGTCCATCCGGGAAGGCCTCAGAGTAGAGCTGCCGCTCCTCCACGTGGAAAGCCAGTTGAGGTTGCTCGGGCATCTGATAATGATGCCTCATGGTCGCCTCCCTAGTGAGGTGTTCCGGGCACGTCCCACTGGGAGGAGGCCAGAGGAAGACCCAAGAGGGAGTATGTGTCTCGGCTGGCCTGGGAACACCCTGGGATCCCCCCCGGAGGAGCTGGCGGAGGAAGTGGCAGGGGACGGGGAAGTCTGGGTTTCCTTGCTTCGGCTGCTGCCCCCGCGACCCGACTCCGGATAAGCGGTGGAAAATGAATTAATGAATTGTGGACTACACATTTTCGTTTCAGTGTGTTTGTGCATATATTTCCTATTTCGCAGTGCTGCAGGAGGGGAGATATTCGACCACTGTGTGTCTGAGGAGCTCCTGCCAGAAACTCAAATCACACGTCTGATCAGACAAACCCTCGAGGGAGTCCATCACCTTCATCAGTGCAGTGTGGTTCACTTGGATTTAAAGGTTTCACATTCACATCCTAAATTAGTCACATGCTTTGCATGCTGCAGGACCAAAGAGCATGAATGTTTTTTTATGTTTGCTCATTTCGAAGTTAATAGAAAACATTTTTGCCCACTAAAACTATTACTGGTGGACACAAAATAAACAGTTTATTCTTTGTCTTTTTTGCACATGGTGATGCAGTAACACGTGTGTTTATACAGAGTCGTAGGTCTAATAAGCTTTCAATATTTCAGTAAATCACCACTTCTGTGGTGGACGTTGCACTTTATCGGCAAAGGTTTGAAGATTAAATGTTCCGCTTAAATGTGTGTCATCCTTACTGTTTTTCCTTCATGTTTTTCTTAGCCCCAGAATATTCTCCTGACCAGCCTGTCCCCTCCAGGAGACATAAAGATTGTGGATTTTGGCCTGGCACGCAGATTGGGTGCAGCTGGAGAGCTCAGAGAGATTCTTGGCACACCTGAGTATGTGGGTAAGGTCACTTTGAAAAAACAGCCGCAGACATACAGTTTGAAATCTGCAATTGAGGCTTGTAATTGTTATCACTTCCTCACTTTTCACAATTTGTACTTCTGGAAACGGTGATTATGGTCAAAAGAGTCACAGTAAAGCTTAGTCTTAAATTAGATATATCCATGCTTAATGAGTATCTCATCCACGACTCCGGTTAGGATTTTCTAAATTAATTTGTGATTTTTAATTGCTTATCCGTAATTAAGAAAAAAAGACCACTCAACTGTATGACTAGAGAATCAACATTGGTGAAAGACAACATCAGAAGTCATAATACAATGCAGGAAATTCCACAAATGTGTTTAATGAATTATTTAAATAACTGCCCACTTCTATTTCTTTCTTATGTATATTCAGCTCCAGAGGTACTTAACTATGAGCCAATAACAACAGCTACTGACCTTTGGTGAGTCTGTCCTTCCAAAACTGTCCGATTAAACTCATTTCACCCAGCATCAATCTGCCTGAAAATCCTATTAAATGTGAAATGGAAATTTTACAGCCAAAATATGCTATTTTGGGGGGAAAAATCATTCCAAAGATACTTATACTGTAAATGAAAATGGATGTTGTCCATTGTAACAAAAAAGCAGCTAAGTAGTTCCTGCAAAATGTAAGCTGTTGTCATTCTCACTCTAGTCCTCTTTTTGATTGTGTATTCTGCAGGAGCGTTGGGGTCATAGCTTACATGTTAGTGACAGGTGAGTCCCCTTTTGCTGGGGATGACAAGCAGGAGACCTACCTAAATGTATCCCAAGTTAATGTAGACTACAGCAGGGAGGCCTTCGCCAGAGTGTCCGAGCTCGCTGTTGACTTCATCCGCAAGCTACTGGTGAAAACTCCAGAGTGAGTAAAACTTTTACCAAGGTTTGAGGTAACTATGGGTGAAATGTTAAAATAAAGCTGCAAACAAACGGGTCCCAGCTGATGCGAAATTATTTACTGATGTAAAAGTCAGACTAGCACTTCCCCAAATCTGTCACCTCTTTTTTTCATGTTTAAAGCCCGCGTAATGGCTTCCTAAGTGCTATACTTGTGCTTTGTGCAGAGACCGGCCAAGTGCTGCAGAGTGTATGAGTCACCCTTGGCTGTGGCAGCAACAGCAGCTCTGCCTGAGCCCGGAGTTCATAGCAGTTCGCACCATCCGCGAGAGGAGCTGCGGCACCAAGTGGGCAGCCCCACTCGAAGATCCCGAAGACAAGGAGAACTTCCTGGAGTCACCTCACTCTCAAGCAAAGAAGTCTCGCTTTGACGAAGAGGCGCCTACTGCTGGAGGCAGTGACTTTTGATCAAAGTAAAGCAGGGACAGCGATTTCTTCTTGTGAGCTTTTAAATAGTTTTAAGCTTCCAGAAAACCTGCCTGCCAACCACAGCTCAAGAGTACTTCTAATATGCTAATCGACCCACTGTACCATTGATCATTTAAACCAAAGATAACAGCTACATTTTGGGATATTTTGCTGTGTGGCCAGCGTATATATTTAAATTTGCGTGGGAAGTTTAACTTTAATTTAATTAATTTAATAAAACTTTAGTTTAATGCTTTGATGAGATCTATTTTGAAAAACGACACTATAAATGGGCTCACCTTTTGATGCGAGCCAATGTGTAGATTGTAGGCAAATCTGTGCAATACTCGTATTTAAAATCTTTTGCTTAGGCTGTGCTTTTAAGTCACCACCCTCACACCCCTGACTTGCCCTTCAGCTAAAATGTGTTGTATCAAGACAAGCATTGCTGCTGTCACAAAGTGAATATCACGTTCTTATTTATAAAAACTAGGAGCAGCAGCCTCGTAGCACTACAAGAAAGCTCAATTTGCTCTCTTTAGGTTGGGAAAACATGCTGCTGGACTTAAAGACTACACACAGGCACAGTACATTCCTTTAAGTTAGCCTTTCACGTTGCTCTTAAACTTCCAATTTCCTCATGTACAGTACACAGAGGATTCAAGTGTAGCCCAGGACAACAGATTATTTCACAAGTAACGACTCAAAGTCAACTGTGCCACACCTACATTTACCCAAATGTTTTCCTCTGCAAGATCTAGTTCCTCTACATTGAGCTGCTGCCATTTCAGCACTTACTTCACAAACATTCAAGTGGTAAAAGGGTAACTATCCCTCAAAGCTTGTGTCTGTACTTGGTGTCTCTCACCAAAGCCATCCAGTTAAAGCCACTGTTGTCCTCTTGGGTCAACGATGCCTAAAGTGATCTTTTTCTGTTGTTTTCATCTCAGGGCGGCATGCTGCTCACTTTCTGCTCTCCTCGTTTTGTATTCTTAAAGTTTTTTCTTATAGGCATATTATTATAATTGTTATTTATGTGCTGGACTCAAATTTAGTATTTTATACAAATAATGTGCTCAGATGTCTTGAAAGGAAATGTCAAGATTATGGAAGGAAAGTAATTAAAAAATGAGTAAGGTGTTAAATAAACTGAGCTGTTGTTGAGATGGTAAAGAGCAATAAATTGACAAATTTGAGGATTGTAGGAAAAGTTTGTTTTTAAATGGTACTAGAAAGTAAAAGGAATGTGGAAACTGAAAGATGATGAGGTTTTAGACAGGAGAAATGGATTTAAATAATCAGAAGGAACTAGCAATGTCTGAGTCTGAGAGAAGCATTGTAAAAAAAAATAATAATAATAATAAAAAAAGTCGAAAATATGTGCCTGATGAGAAAAGTCGGAAGGAATTTATAGTTGATGTTTGGTCTAATAAGTGCGACAGCATTGCTGTTGAGTGTGACATGAGGTGCTATATACAGAATTTGCCATCTTTTGTTTAGGTAAGACTTGACTGAAACAAAACCTCAGCTCCCTGAAGGTGCAGCTCTGAGAACTCCAAATGCTCCTAGCAACATTCCTCCTCATATGTCAAGGCTGCAGGCCGGATAGGACTACATTGTCTGTTCTTGTTGTCGTCACCAGCAGACACAATGGACTTTGTGCAGGAGATGGGCGTCTCCAGCCACGGCTGTGCTCTCATCTCAATGCCGTCACCATCGATAACTGGAATTTCACAGCGCAAAAGATTACATTTGTATCTCTGGGAATTTAACCAGTCGTGTGACCAGACTCAGACTTGTTCAGTAAAACTGCTCATTACAGTACAAAGAATCTATAAAGTAATGGCTTTGACACAGACTGAACTTTTCTTTTCTGTGGTGTCAGAATCTGAAAAAAAAAAAACTTTCGTGAAACTGGTTAAATATCGAGGGGGTAATGTTATTTGCATTGTGTTGGTGACAAGGAAGTAACTTGACCTTAAAAAGGTCAAATAATTTGCCACTTGAGCATGAGATGCTGTAGAGCTCAGTTTGTTGTTTTGTACTGTCATTTGGAGCAGCTATCCACTGGCCTCTGTGTGAGCACTCATTGTCTTAACAGGAGGTGCTTTCTGGCACTCGATTTCAAGACGTGTAGATGCTTTAGATGCCACCCAACATTCCTATCAGCTATCTTTAAGGCCAGTAACACTGAATGATACTGTATATTAGTCAAACCAGCTACAAGCACAAGCAAATAAATATTTGAGATGTACCTTTATTTTGCATTTTATACATGATTTTTTTTAAATGTATGATTCTTGATAACATTTGAAATTGTTTAAAAAAAAAAAAGATATAACTTGTATACTGATCAACTGTAGGCTAATAAGTAGGCATCACAAAGCAAAATGGAAAAGCTTATTAAAGATTGTAGGAAATATGGAATGGTTTACTTTGTGGTCTGTTTTTTACTGAAGCAATCCAGTACATCAGTCTTTGACATTAATGTTTTATTTCGTCCCACCGCAGCCACCTGCTCATTCGCGAGAGCTGATAAACAGTGGCATGATTTCACAGTAATGAAGACACATCATCGGTGCCAGCTCAGTGCAAATCAAAACCAAAAGGAATGCTTATGAAGTTACATTCAGCACAGCAATTAGCCATCAATACAGTGCAAAAAGGCTTTTAAAGCTTAAATAAAGCTTATAAACAAAAACAGTCACAATGGTTGTCTTATCTTAACAAGTCCCAAAGTTTGCAGATAAACCAAAAGGCATCATTTTACCAACTGCTAAGTACACAGCAATTATAACATAATATGCAACAGTTTGCTAGCTTGAGAAAACTAGCCTAACTACTTTTGATTATCAATAACCATTTGGGATAACTTATTTTATTTATTCTTTTTACTTTAATGTCAAAGTTGCTGAGATGCGAGTCCAATCAAAAATAAAGCAAATGCACTCCCTTCACAACTAAGGTTTACATTAGGGTAAGTGGATACATTGGACAGTTTTCATTATTTTTTTAACAGGGGGGAATGGCTTAACTTTTTGGGATATGTCAAAAACGTCAAGACATTTTTTCTTTTATAAAAAAAAAACTACAGGACAGCAGTTTTTTTAAGTACAAACTAATTATCAATGTAAAGAATGTTAGGTAAAATTGTGTTGACATATGTCGCATGGTGGTAGTTATATATCTAGATTTCGGTTCGTCTCATAAAATGCATTACGATGTAGTTACAGGACTGACTACTCTGATTTAAAAGAAGTCCAATTCTGTGTGGTGTAATTAAAGAAATCCATTTTTTCAACAATCAACTTGGCATAATGCATCAATGGCCACATCTAATTAGACAGACCATGACATCAGCTAAGAAATGCTAAACTTAAGATTCACATGTACAAAAGTAGCTTAGGGTAAGTGCAAGCATTCAAAGAATGTATAAAGCTTCTCTGTTAATAACATTAAGTGAGATTGAAAATTGCAGCCAATTTAAGTTAATGAATGTTATGCCAATTCTGTATTACTACAATTTCAAATCATAAACATTATCTCACAGAAAATGCAATTAACATTAGAGGATTACTGTTCTACAATCAAATGCAAAATTTAAGATTTTGTTTTTAAGCTATTTAAGGTAAGACACCTACTGGTCGATACCCATCTTTCAAATATAAGTGATTTCTCTCAGCACAACCATGAGTATCATATCAGCTCTAAATGGACTAAGGAACAGAAAGTACAATAGACCAGCATCTACTGCTCCTCATCAGTCCAAGTAATTGCAGTTTTATGGTTTATTTTTTGCCATTTTGATGCAGCCTCAAAACTCCTGGATTACCCTAAAGTGGTTCTCAATGGAGGGTGGTTCGTCTTCAAAGTGCAACTTCTTACTGGGACAGGCCCCAAACTCTTCCAGCATCTTGATGAAGTATCTGTGTTCACGACCAACCCAGGCCCGCATGGGGTCACACACCTCATATGGCGTAACGTGGGCATGAATTGACACTCCGCTGGCAGCAAGCTCTCTTAGCACCTGTTTGTCTGTCACCCAGGTCTCCCCTCCCCCAGGATGCCCCCCATCCAGCCAGAACATATCTGAGATCTGTTTAACAAAGTCTGACATCTGTGGGTCTGCACGGGCTCCTGGTAGCTCATACACCATTTGGTTCAGAACCACACAGCCTTTGCTAAAACCCACCAAAGTCAAGGACAACCCAGGGGGGATGCTGTCAGCTTCACCTTGGAGATGAAGCTTGGCTCGCTTCATGCCGTTGGTCAGCAGTGCTCTGTGGTCAGAAATGCCATGGGGACAAAGTTATGAACAGATCATCTGGATGACTTGCAATACATCAATACATGATGACTTTTGTCAGAAATTTAGATTTATCCATTCATCCATCCATTATCAATACCGCTTATTCCCTGATGGGGTCGCGGGGCGAGAGGCAGGGTACACCCTGGACAGTCCGCCAGTCCATCGCAGGGCCACATACAAGACATACAAGGACAAACAACCACTCACACTCACATTCACTCCTAACAGCAATTTCCCCGATCTCCAATCAGCCTAACATGCAGGTTTTTGGACTGTGGGAGGAAGCCGGAGAACCCGGAGAGAACCCACGCAGACACAGGGAGAACATGCAAACTCCACCCAGAAAGGTCCTGGTTCCCCCGGGATTCGAACCCAGAACCTTCTTGCTGGGAGGCGACAGTGCTAACCACCACACCACCGTGCCGCCCCAAATTTAGATTTATATGTAGCGCAAATAGCAAAGTTAAACTTTCTTGCTCTGTAACTCATTAAATTATATCAAACGGACACAAAAAAAATAACCTGAGGTGGTGAAATGCTCCAAAGTCCGCTGAGAATGGAGAGTGCTCCGGAGCACCAAACATGTTGCTCTCCACAAAGTTGTGGTAGCAGCTGAATTTGTGGAGATACATGGTGGACGCTCTCACCACCCAGATGTGGCTGCTGGGGAAACGTCTGCCCAGTATGAGGGTCACCTGCTCTAGACTCCAGGACAGCCACTGAGCTCCCTCAGGCTGCCGAGCCATCTCCTCCTGGAAGTTCTGCACATGCAACACACAGAGACATGTTTTTTACAACTGCATTGCAAAACAGTAAAGAACATCAGCTTTAGAATACATGCATAATCAAGAGCCTGAGTTATCATAGCATTAGCCTAAAACAATCATGTTCCTGGAAATTTAGTGAATGATAATGAAAAGCTATTTTTGTAGCTTTTCCAGTGTTTTGATCTGTGAGGCAAACAAAACCCTGATTAGATTCCAGGGCTGGTAACATACCATGAATGTGGCGTTTGCTTTGAGAAAATGCAGTGTCACAGTTTTACCTCTGTATTCAGCCTACCACTCTCTTTTTCACACTCATTCCATCACTCACTTAAACACAAACTCACACAACCTCACTCAAACGCACAAACTCTCTTACCAGTATGAAGCCATCCTTAATGGTTTCTTGCTGCAGTGCCTATGCACTCAAAAAGCCTTCTGAGAGTGCATTGTTTAAATGCTTTTAGAGATCAAGCCCTGCTGTTGAATTCAACTAAAAAATAGTTTGTATGAGCATTTGCTAAAGTACTGAGGTGCCAACGAAGTGTCTAACAGCATAAAGTCTCATCGTAAAACATTTTATGAGCAACACATGGCGAATACTTGGGCTCAATGGATGAGTCACGCTGTCAGTATTTGCTCGTGCAAATATCAAATAATCCCAAACCAATAAGGAAACCAATTATTAGTAACTCCAAAGCCCAGTCACAGCTACTTTGACCACACATTGGTCAAATGAAACACCCCAAAGTCATAAGAACCTCATCCATCCCACTCACCTGAATATCCCCATGGAAAAATACAACGTGCTTGTTGTTACTAGTCTTGGATTCAGAACTGCTCTCTCCCTCCGTATTAGGCCGCAGGAGCAATAGGTCGTTCAGGCGATTGGGAATGTGGCCTGGAACACCCAGCAGAATCTGTAGCTTCTTCCGTAGGATGCCTGAGCCTTGCACCCCCTGAAGCTCACAGGCTGTTGTCGCCACCGTCGTCATCGTTTCCGACTACAGCTATCAAAGTGAACCCTATCCTGACAGCCCGAACGACTGTCATGGGGTTCTAAAATAGGTAAGTGATACGGTGTCTTCTTCCTCTACACTGGCACTCCATGCTGATGCTGTCATCGAGCTAGCTCAACAACGAAAGGCTAAAAACGACAACATGACACTTCTGTAAAGCTAAAGAGCGATAAAACTAGAGCTTTCTACATGAAGATAACAACATACGTATCTCGACAGGCTGTACACACCTGTATCCATCTAGCATTGTAACTATTACAGTGCACCTAGAAAGAATTGACAGAAAATAATGTGACAGTTCGGAGACATTTTTGGCCACAAAGAGGCGCCGTGTCAACGCTCTCAGCCGTTGCGCAGCCTTGCGCAGGCGCATGGAGCAAAGCCGGACTGGAACCATCTGCGCATGTCTTCTGTCGAGTTGCGCGCGCGTGCGCGTGCGCGTGTGTCTGTTTGTGTAAAGTGTCAGCATGAAGAGATAGTACAAGAATCACTTTCTAATTATGTGCGTTTACTGCAAATATAATGTCTTAATTGTGGTACTACAGTGGATAAAAAGCCACAAGGCAAGACAGTTCTTGTATAATGACTGTGAGTGTTTTATATTGTGTGGCATTGGTGGACGTAGCTGCAGGATGGGCACAATGCTTTTATCTCTTATTTGTGTCATTAAGTTTATGTGGGCTGCTGTTCAAGTAGGCGTACCAGAGAAACAGGCAACGACCATAAGCATTAGGTTGTCAATTACAGACGGGAAGAGCTAGGTTTAAAGAATTAAATGACAGCTGTATTGAGATCAAGAGAGTAAAGTTGTATCCAATAAACGGTGGATCAGAGTTCCGTAGCAGTGCTAAACTTTTGACAATTATTTGCTCAGATTATGTAAAATGTCCAGAAGGCAGCAGTAGTGCGACTCGGAGGATGTCAGCCGCTGTTATATCACCAGCAGAATAAGAAGATCCTATTGAAAGCCTACGTATTTCCGTTCTCGAGTAGTTGTTTGGTATCATAGTTAGTGTACGCAATCGTGGCAAGAGATAGAGGCGTATAAGACGTACATTAGATATATTTATCACGAAAGACATATTTAATCAATGCAACGTGTATTTGCTGAACAACTTATCCCTATAATATTGCTATCTTTTATCACCACTGTGAGCAGCGTGTAGCAGTTGGCTGTGCTGTTTGGCTTGCATAGATTATATATTTCAATATTGTGTTTTTTAAGTCTTTAAGGCTTGTTGTTCATGTGAAATTTGTTTTGAAGGCGGAACTACTTTTTTCAAAAACTAGAGGGAATATTTTTTGCTCGGAGGTCTTTAAACTCAAACAGAAGTTTAAGTGTTTCGTCCCCGAAACACGGACGGGACTAGAGTCAGTCAGGAATTCAGAATCAGAAATACTTTAATAATCCCAGGGGGAAATTATCATTATCCATTGGGCCCTGGTTCAAGTCGTTCACATTGTCCAGAGTTACCCACACTGGAATTTTCAGTATTACTTTCTTTAAGCCTTAAATGCTCGACTTCCTCACAGCAGATAAAGTTATCTGTTTATTCCCAACTGAACTTTGAACTTGTTCCATAATGGTCGGCGTTGTACACGTAGCTATGGAACAACCCTGTTCTGTGTGATAACTCTCGTAGGGTATACTGAGCGTTTTAGAAGATTTTCAACGTCTGTTGAACTCAGTTCTGAAACGGATCCTTTGTCTGCAGAAAGGTAACCAATACCACTGAAAGCTGCACCAGCCCATGGCCCACTGGAGGTGATGTGAAATTACAATGTTGCGTACATGAGAGAAATGGTTTACAATGTCTGTACAAAAACGTTTTCAAGTGGAGATAGTGTTACTTTTAAAGTCAGAAATCATTTAAAATGGACTGTACTTTATGGTAGCCATTTTTTTCTATGGTAGCCATTCTTTCTATGACCACCTTTATTTTTCAACACAGTATGAATCCTCTTAGATATTCTTTATCATTCCATCTTTGAGAAGTATCCAGGAATAGTTCTTCAGGCCTCTTGAAGGACAGTCCAAATCTCCTCTTTCAGTGTTGGCTGAATTTTACTGTTTTCTGACTTGATCCCACATTGCTTCTCAATAGTGCGAAGGGTTAAGGTTTAGAGAGATTCTTCACTTCATGAGACCCATAACCGCAAAATGGTCTCTTACGTTTTTCTCTTCATTTTGCATATATATCAGCCTTTTCTCACTGTAACCCTCCTAATGGCTTTCCGTCCTTCCATATAGACCATTACTGATGAGGGTTCAGCATTTGTCATGATTCATCCCTGTGTTTCTCTCTAGGTCTTTTCTGGGATTTTATTTTGTTTCTTTTAGCTACTGTTTATATGCTGGACGCCTGTGCTAAGTACTGACAAGAGTGCTGGAAGTTTTTCTCTTTCCTTGGAAGCAAAATACAATCAATTGTGGATGGGATGTTACATTTCTTTATAGCTGAATTACTGTTTTACATCAAGCTTTCATCCCACATGTTCAGTTTTTCTTACTGTCTAAACAACTGTGTGAATTATTTAATGATTTCAGCACGCTTTACTATAAGTGCATTTTCTGATGTTGTTGCAGAAACATGTTCTCGAGTACCTTTGGCAAACACCTCGTGGCATGTCTTCTCAATGTTTCTGAGGCTCACAGACAAGACCTTGTGGAGACTGTGGCTAGAGCGGCTCTGTACAGCAGTGAAGGCAAGATCAAGTACAGCAACTTCAACCACAAATGTTGGATTTATATAAATTGTTTTGGGATGTTTTAAGCACACACAATTTGGGGAGGATATTTTCTCAGAGACACTACGCTGTAGCCTCTTTAATAATGAAATAACCTTCTGAAATTTCTAATTATGGGCATATTTAAAGATGTTAAAATGTTCACCAGGGGTTAAACGGAAGACGACCACAGTGCTGAACATCTTTAATGATCATGACTACAACCGCTCTGTCATCACCATTGTGTCCAGTATTGACTCAATCAGTAAGTAATCATTTTATCCTGAAGCATCTGATCGATGGCCTATTTTTATAATCGTTGTTCTTTGATGGAGTCATAAATTTAGGTATAGGTACAGTATAGTGTGCATGCTACAGCAGAGAAACAGCCCCAGTTCTCTTAATTTGAGAGTTAAGGTTCTTTTCATCAACTTTGTCGAATTCAAACACAAATTATGAAGCAACATTTTCCAAATAACAGATCACAGTAAAAAGTTTCTCCTCTCAATTGTACTTCTGAAACAAAACCTTCTGTAAATTAAAACTAACTTTTTCTGTTCCAATAGTTCTCTGCACCTGTTGTCACGTCTGGGGGAATGTCTGGTGTTTCGTCATGTCTTGATTACCTATTGTGTCCACCTGGGGTTCCCCTCCCTCATGTGTTTAAATAGTCCTCGTTTCCCCTGTCCTGTGCCAGTGTGTTTGTGTCCCTTTGCTTTCATGTCCTTTGTTCCTCGCCACGTAAGGTTTGGATTTTTGCACTAGATCTTGCAGAGGAAATCATTTGAGTAAATGTAGGTGTGGCACAGTTGACTTTGAGTCGTTACTGAAATAATCTGTTGTCCTGGGCTACACTTCAATCCTCTGTGTACTGTACATGAGGAAATTTTAAGTTTAAGAGCAACGTGAAAGGCTAACTTAAAGGAATGTACTGTGCCTGTCTGTAGTCTTTAGGTCTAGCAGCATGTTTTCCCAACCTAAAGAGAGCAAATTGAGCTTTCTTGTAGTGCTACGAGGCTGCTGCTCCTAGTTTTTATAAATAAGAACGTGATATTCACTTTGTGTGTTTTTTGTCCAAATAAACCCTTGGAACCATCACTTTCCGCAACTGAGTCTTCCCTAAGATCCACGCTAAAAACGCACTCAAAAAGGAGTGGATGACCAGGGTTAAAAAACAAGGCTGTGAAAAAACTATGAACAAAGTATCAAATCAAGATTAACCTGACTATGAACAAAAAGTATCAAATAAAGTAAACAAGGCTATGGCAAAGTATCAAATAAAGATTAACAAAACTGTGGCAAAGTATCAAAACAAGACTATGGCAAAAATACTAAATAAAGTTAACTATGGCAAGGCTGTGACAAAAACAAGGCTATGGCACAAAAAGCAAGACTGTGGCAAAAGTGCAAAAATCAAAACTTTACGTGGCGAGGAACAAAGGACACGAAAGCAAAGGGACACAAACACACTGGCACAGGACAGGGGAAACGAGGACTATTTAAACACATGAGGGAGGGGAACCCCAGGTGTACAGAATATGTAATCAAGACATGACGAAACACCAGACATTCCCCCAGATGTGACACCTGTCACTTATCTCCCACTTTCCACTGATCGTTTGAGGGATTTAATGCATGCTTGATAGTATATGATGTATTCCAGGGGAGGCGGTCCTTTCCGCATGTGAGAGGGCATGTGAAGTTATCGACATGAGCACTCACATAGGAGTCCATCCATGTATGGGCGCCATTGACCTCATACCCATTTACCCCCTCGGAGAGAAGGTTGGAGTGGAGGCCTGTGCTCAAGAGGCAAGGGGTGAGGTGTTTTGTGTTTGCAGTAATTGATAAGTTCCTGAATAGTATACTCATTTGTGTTTTCTTGTGTCGTTTACATTCTCAACAGTAATATATATATATATATATATATATATATATATATATACACACACACATACAGTTCATAAGTATAAGTTCTCTCAACTGAGTTAAGGTCAGATGGGTGTGGAGGCCAGGCCATCTGACGCAGCACTCCATCCCTCTCCTACTTGGTCCTTACGCAGGGGTAATGAATGATGGTTCAAATAAAAGCAAACGAGTGGATGGCATCTCGCTGCAGGATGCCGTGATAGCCATGGTGCTTCAGTGTGCCTTCAGTTTTTAATCAATCCCCCCAACAACGTAGTCCAGCAGAGCGCTGCCACCCCATTTTACCTCCTCCTCCATTCTGCTAGTTAACTCTAGAATGTCTATGACCTTTTTTGTTCAGCTGTGGCTCAGGGACTTACAGAGAGGGTGCAAGGCACCAGTGTCTTCCTCTTTGGTTGGGCAGACCATCCTTTGCAGCGTGGGCTGGCAGATAGGAGAAAGGAGATGGGTTGGTTCAAGAAGATGCCAGACTTGCAATCTATCAAGTCAGATATAGGGCCTCAACCACAAAAGCGATATGGTCTTACAGGTGAGTGATATAGCTGAATGATATAGCACATGTTTTTTAAATTTATGATTGGCGACTAGTTTCTTTTGTTTTGTTTTATTATGAGAATGTGTTTTGTAAAGAGCAAAGATTTTTTTTAAATGAACTGTATTAGCAGCAGTAGATCCTCCCCACAATGGAGGACTATTGTTAATAGATTTAAAAAAATCTTAGAAAACTATTTCCAAGTCAAACTCCCATATATATAATGTAATAAAGCAAACGCCACAATCTAGGTTTAATGTATTGAAGCTGAATCCAAATGGCACCAAATCCCAACAAGTTACATATCAAAGCGCTTCAAAGTTATAGTTGACTTGAAGCCAAATATGATTAAATTCTACGTATTGTATCAATAAGCTAACTAAATCAAAGTCCAATCCAAATGCGTCCAATTCATGCTAGAAACGAAAAAGCTTTGTCAGAGAAAGCAACAGACCATATAGAAATATCCCCTTGTTTAATTTTCTGCCCCGAGCATGCGTGAGAATGTACTTGTTTTTGACAGAGTAAAATATCCAGCACAACTAGATCCAGGAAGGACAGCCATCTGTCTTGATGAATTGGAGGTCTGAGAGAGCAAGCAAAGAGGGGACAATAAGCACCATAATACCAAGCTATGGACACCCACTGAGAAAGAGAAGAGCAAATTATTCATGAGGAATAAAGAGAGAAGAGTGAGGGGAGGTACATAGATGGAGGTAACCCTGCAGTCTAAGCCTATTGAAGCATACCTATCGTATTTTTTAGGGTCACTTCAGCCATCCCTAATTAGTCAAATGACTATACTCATCAGTAATTGATTTTTACCTAATTCAGATTCTTTTGAATAAGATAAATATGTAACTCTATGCTTAGTATGTTGGACTAATAATTTGAAATAAATCGTTAAATTGAGAGTGCAAAATTAAAGGGAAAGAAACTCTAGACATTCAGTGGAATCCTTAAAGAGATATTCTAACCACCCCCTAAGTAAAATCTCTGGGACATCAGCTAGTGACTCTATGTTTGATGATCTAAAAAAAAAAAAAAGAATAACTATTTGCGGTCAAAGTTCAAGTGAGTGTTTTTGTGCTGGTGAGATTCTTTATTTTCTGTTGACCTCGATTCCGCATTCACCTACCCCATGTTTTTGTGCATAAATGCAAACGTGCACACTCAAACACATGCATAGCAATACAATTAGATGCTTGATCTGCAATTGTCAACATTTTTTACGAAGATGCAATAATTTTAGCAACATAGTTTTTGCACCATGTGCTGCTTTCTGCATGCCTCTGTCACCATCACCCTTTTTTCTGTCTTTTTTTGTCAGTGACAGAGCACCATTTTTCTGCGTTGTTTGGTGGAATAAATACTCTTCATTCCATAATTTTTTTATCATAATATGACTTTTACAGGTGTCGGAGCCAGTCCATACGTCATGAATTGCAATGTCACTATAGACACTCAGGATATCACCATAGGCCGTAGCATTGCCAGAGCTATCAGGGAGTCTACTACTGGAGGCCTGGCTGGAGTTCAGGTGTTGGCATTGCCACATGAAGGTGCTGTTGAAATGGCATGTAATGTGGAAAGTGTGAGAGGACCACCAAAACTCCTAGAGGGCGAACCTTGGCCATCTTTCAGCATTGATGGTCAGCCATATTGTCATGTTCCAGCATCACTCATCACATCCAGGGTTGCTGAGCTGGCAGGGAGGCAGGGGGTTGGCATGAAGGGCACTGCCCTGGTGGGGTTTACCCCCTGCGAGTGCAGGGGCCTAGCAGAGTTTGCACTGTCGCAGGGCATTGGCGAGTTCTGGAAAGAACAGCGCAAGATCAACATGTAAAAAAGAATTTATGCCAAAAGAAATAAATTCCTAAATTTAAAAAAAGACAGCATGAATAGTCACATTTGTATTTCACCAATAGGAGATAATCCTTTTTGCTCTCCACATATTATTTTTTTATCTTTGTGACCAAAGCCTGCCCAGACTAGATGAATAAGTACTGTTCACCAGTATAGGATACTCTCCTTCATATGTTGTCATTGGCTGGTGTGTTCTCACTCTGCCAAAATACTTAATCTTAAAATAATCCCAAAAAATATATATTATTAACACAGGGATCAGCAGTCTTCTCATGTAAAATTTTGTATTGACTAATCTAATGTTATTATAATATTCTAATAATAAAATATAATAATAAAATATTACAACTTGTTTCCTGTCTTTTTTGTCTTGAATATTCACTTATATTGTTAACACGGTTCTGCTCCGTATCTTTATAATGCAATGCTTGCAGTTAAATACATTTTTAGTTTTGCTGCCTTTCATCTTTGAGACAAGAACTATATATTTCCATACATTGTCCTCAAGATGGGAATGTTACCTTTTTTTTTAAAGAAATGTATAATTTATCTGTCTTGTAGTCTTTTGGACCAAATGAGACTCTTGTGTTTACTTGTTTGTAGTTGTTTCTGTTGATGAGACTTCCCATCATCTTCCACTACCATCTTCAGATTACATGACTGTGGGAGGGTTACCATCTGTGTGAGCAGCTATTTTTGTCACCACTCAGTAACTTAACCTCTCAGAGACGTGTAGGATTTTGGCAGTATTTTGATAAGCATACAACAGTAAGTCTTCTTGTTTAAATAGCTGTTATCCTATTTTATTTTCAAGTAATTCTGCAAACATAAAAAAACTTCTGTTGCACAGAATTAACCATTAAATAACCAGGTGTTAATTGCCAATACAATGCACTGAATGGCAAGATCCTGGATAATGATTATAAATATAAATCTTACTTGATTAGATAAAAACTCAGAACTGCATTCAAAGAAAATTTGCTAATTTTATGACATATGGAATAAAATTTAGAGCCGCCAACTGTTTAATCTACCAACATAGTGGGCACTAATCTGTTAATCTCTTTTTTTTTTCAAAGTAGCATGAAACCTGCTTTGGTTAAATTGTCATCCAGGTCATTCCATTGGGCATTAGGTTCATCAGGGTGAGCACCTTATGATTGTGTAAACATTTTTCATGTTATTTAGTCGTGGCTTTGATTACTTAAGCAGTTTATCCTAATTTCATGGGTACACACATGTGCTTACGTTCTTCCCTCTTTGCATCTCTATGATGTTGTCTTTCCTGCTTCCTGACGCAAATACATACGCATTTACTCTATAGTTGGCATACATAACACTTGCGTAGACTCAGCCTGCCAGGCTTGGGAGCATCAAGGCTTAATCTAGGTCACAGCTTTGGCGGAGGGGTTTTCCTACTATACACACACACACTAAAATGTTACTTTGATGAGACACCAAAAACATTCTGACCCTCCCTCAAGTCCCCCAAGTAATGTTTGTGTCCCTGTGCCACAGCCTAAAGGCTCTTGTGATTATCACAAACCCATTATTTCCCTAATTCAGTGCACATGCCAATGCACATCACTGAATTAGCATCCATGAAGACACCCTGTGCTACTCAAGCCTGAACCAAATCTTTTACATTATGTCTTCTAGCTTGCAAATATGTGTAAGAGTGATATGCCAGAAAAAAATAAACATATTTAAGCATTTTGCGGCCAGTTCAGCAGTATTCATGTCGTAGGCATCCCATGGCGGACATCAATTAAAGTGACATCGTCATAGTGTAAGATACAACTGTGTGCCAAAGCAGATAAATAGAGCTTATTTCCTCTCTTTCAGTCTTTCATAGTGTTCTATAAATACTCTAAAGCCTCTCTATCTCACTCTCTCATTGCTGCTGCCCCCACCCACAGTTTTTTCCTCCAGACTCTTTTGCTTCCCACATCTTCCCTTTTCCCCAATTACCCTTTTGGTGCAACGGAAAGATATTGTCATCTTATTTGTAATAAAGCAAGACAAGCAGACGGTTAAATATCTTAGCCTTTAGGATTTGTTTTTTTCCCTGCAGGCATTTTCTGCAGGACTATTCAGTAAGATGACTATACTTTTTTGTATTATCTCACTACATTTAAAAATCATTTTCTGCTTTCTTGACTTTCCAGTTTACTTCATGAATTACAACCAGTGAGTGCAATGATTATTCTCATTCTATTAATCTAGTAAATGGTTTAAAAAATAAAAAAAAATGATAACATTCACCAGACAGAGATGTTATCTTTCAACAACTGGTGGTTATATGTGGCTAGCACTACCCTCATTAACCTATCAGTGTGAGAAATAAGCGTGCAACCTACGAAATCAGCAGTTTCCCTGCCCCCACCCTGAACACATGTTTAACATCCTCTGGGCACAGGCAGAGCAGAGCGCTGAGACACAGCTGAGGAGTGGAGAGGGAGAGCAGTGAAGTGGAAATATGGGTGAGCATCAGAAAGAGACAGAAATAGAGCGATAAAGCAGTGAGTTAGTCAGAGGTAGGGAGTGGGGGAGGAGAACTGGAGACAGCGTTTCACTGCAATGCTTCCCGCATTGGAGGCTCAATTCACCTAAAGGAGAAAGATCTTGTGTTGGGACGTGAGAACCTTGTAGATTGCCCTCCCCTGAGGCTCAGTGAATTTTGTCTCATCTGGATCCCTAACACCTGCAAACAGAGGATGCGACAGTAGCTGGATGCTAGATACCATGTGGGCCCGTTATGTCTGCACTACACTTAATAGCTACTTTATTCCACATAAGGATGGCTCTGGCATCTTTGACCCAAATTATGGAGTCGCGGCTCCTTGCTGTGTGCTGCTCCTCGGGTGGTCTGCCAATTTGATGTCGACAAGGCATGCTACACACTGCGGAGACCACTCAACCTGCTGACATCTGTCTCTGTGGATACGCAAAGCAATCGATAGGGTAAGCCTAAAATCCTGTCATCTGAGTGCTCAGTAGGCATCATGATGGGTTTTATATGCATCTATATTTTAATTAGTCTTGGTCATGTTGGCTTTTTTTAAGGCAACATTTTTTTTTTTATTTCCTTGTTATATTTCATAACATGGGGTTTTACACAGATAGCCTTTACTGCAGCCTAGACTAAAAACAAATATTGGATGCCATGTTGGTTGTAACCATTATCCAGTATGGTTACATGCATGATGTATGACCTGAGAGATATCATGGTATGCAACAAGTAAGTGTGCTTCCCTCAAAGTACAGGGGAAGTGTGCTAGGATGACAAAGACAGAGAATACCTGAATGAATTATGAAGTTCTTTTTGCTTTCTGGAACAACTTCATTCTCTTGATTAGAATATGCATTGAAAAAGGTAAAGCAACTATTCCACAATTTTAAATGTGAAATTAGAAAGCATTCAACTCGGTTATGGTCCAGTCTGTGTATATGGTGCTGTATCTAAATCAGCACATGCTGATTTAGAAACAGCACCATATACATCTGATCTACAAAATTTCCATTGGCTGTTATCTGGTCATGAGATCATTGTTTTTCACTCTCAGAGGTGTGTTTTTTTTCTTAATTGCTTCTGTTTAATTTGCCTAAACATCTAAGAAAGATATTTTCCTTTGAAAAAGTTTTGTTTAAAATAAGTATAGTAAAGCTGCTGAAGGTAACCTTAATAAATAACACTACTCAATAGTAACTAAGTTGGTCAGTTTGTCTCAGATTGGGTTTGTTGGAATATTTGGCTTCCTTTTTATTTTTTATGGTTGCTCGAACAGCTGGTTAATATTTCTTTTCTGGACTAGTAATTGCTATTAAGAATTGTGAAAATCAAGGTATTTATACCACCTACCAAGTATCTACTACCATGGAAGATACGCGCAAATATATTCATAAGTGTATCACTATGATTGCCTTTTTTTTGTCTTATCACAGTTATCGTAGCTTGTTTTTTCCCCCCAGTTTTGACTGACTTTGACACTGCAATTTTTGGTATTCTGCTTTTCCATTTCAATTGAATTTGATTTAAATTTGATTCAATTTTGTCTTGAAGTCATAAACTGCTTCGTGTTGGTAGCAGATTATATTTTCATATAATGCCATATAAAACCAAAAATAGAACTGCCAATGTTTTATTGTTTTGTTTTTTGGCTGAAAATTCTTGTCATTGTACATTTAAAACTCATAGAATTGGCTTAATTTTGCAATATTGGTAAATGTATCAATAATGACTGATAAGCTTGATAGCATCATGGAGGGGTGGGGGAGTTGCAAACATTTGCCTCGTATATAAATGCCTGTTTAATTTCAAAATCTTGTAGATAGTGCAGAAACCTGATCTCTCAAAATATGCTGCATTATTTTTTGAAAATACCATTGGTGACCATTGAAAAAGATCCCACATCAGGTAAAAGTGACTTCTAATGCATTGGAAATATTGTCGATATAATAATATGGAGAAGAAATTCAATTTCATTGTTTGTCACATGGTATTTCTGCGAATGCCTTCATCATTCAAATTAAGTGCTCATGGTGCCTCAAACTAATTGAGCACTTTTGTGTGGTCCTGGTATAGTCTTGCCTTCTTCTGTCAGTATTGTATCCATGATAGTAGCATATCAAGTGCTAAATTTACATGACTAGTAGTTGTGAACATTTCACAACTCTTTTGTCAGATCAAGTTTCACATTCACAACAGGCCAGTGGTGAATTCGGTTAAGGTCCCTCATACATGTTTCTTAAACTGCTTTCATCCCTATACATGTTTTTGATAAAACCCCAAAATGATGGTTTTACATCCCTCACTTGAAACTTTTGATACCTTTCTACAACTGAACAAATTACACTGAAAAATTATGCAATTAATGTGAAAAAATTACCCTAATTCACACAGTTTAAAATGTTGTTTCTAAAAATGGCAAATCATTGTGATAAAATTCAAGAGATAAAATTCAAGGCTTTGCAATCCCCTGTCCAGTCTTCTAATGATCGAGGAGGCATGGGACATCCCAATTATATCAAAAAGTATTCAGAATTTATTTTCATACAGACAAATGAGAGATTCTGTAGTTCAACTGTTGGTCATATTTGATTTCCTTTTATCTTTATTTATTTATCGCTAGTTTAAAGGCAATGTCTTGTCACATCAAATATAACAATTGATTCTTACTCTTGCTGCAAACAGCATTTCCGCTACTGTTCCGCATATGATCCAGTTATTTATAGTTCCTAAAACAATGCATCAAGCTTCAAAGGAATCATGATATCTGTGAATTTTTCTATGGCTCAAGAAATTAAGGACTGTTAGGTCCAATCCTTT